TGGTCTAGTGGAATGTCATGATCTAGTGGTATTGATGCTCATTTATAGTGTAATGTACCTCATTAAATCGTGATAGAATGCTGAATTGGTTTCACTTCCTACAGAGTAATCCTATCACAAGCAAATTGGAAATTTCGATAAAAATGAAGATTTCTCAAGACCCTATAAAATCTACAAAAATGGGCCGAAATAGCTTCGAGAAAAAAGAGAAAGCCATTTATGTATCAGAATACTGTTTTCAGCACTATATTTTATAACTATACATAATCCCATACTTTCAGCGTCTTTCTGAACCACATTCATTTATGCAGTTCTTTATCCATCAATGCCTTGTTTACACTTATTTTCTCTAACATATTAGAATGCCCGTGCTTCATGTAACGAACTGTTACTTGAGAATAAATTGTTATAATTATTACTACTATGGATTCGTATTAGGTCATGCTTATCCGTGTTTGTTGTATGTTTGCTCAGAGCGTATAAAATGTGCATCAGTCGAACTAAGAAAAGGGAAGCATATGACTCCAACAAAAGGAACCGTACTAATCCCCAACAGTATATCCAAACTGACGAAAAAGAATCAACACGCGGATATGAGAGCCAGAACGTCAGCTCACAGACCAATGCAATTGCTGATTGTTGTTAATACCCCAGTATCCGGTAATAAAAAGTAGCAGTGGATGGGTTTTGGGCAGGGAAATGACAACAAGTATGAAGATGAGGGAAAAAGACGATTGACAAAACTGCCTGATTTCACTTGCCTTCCAGTTACGGAGAGTAGGAAATCAGAAAAGAGGGCAGCGAGTGAACAAAAAGGTGGGTAAATATTGGACAATGCTGAAAAACCCTACTACTATGGCCAAAACATTCCATCCCTATAAATGACAAAGCGTAGCATAAAACAGACTTACTCCATTGAGTGTAATTTTAGGCTTAGCACACGATTCAGAAGAAAACTCACGGACATTTTTGAGACTATCCGTTACGTGATCCTCTCAAATGCAAGTTAGACACGTGGAATTGTGGGTTGTTAAGGATCTCGCTAGATCGTCAATCTTACAAGAATTAAACAGTGAAGCTGTTTAAAGAGCACCTAAACAAGTGGTTGGTATTTGTGATAAAGTTCGCGAATACGATATGCAACAGCAGCGTTAGCCATCACGTGGCACATGTCTTCACACCACTGCTATAATTGGCGTGTCCATACTACCTCGTTTGTTGCACCACACGGCCACTGAGTCTTCGTACTTGATTCCTGTGAACCACAGAAACCAAGAGAGCCTAAATGAAGTAATTCAGACATTGTACAGCACGAAAAATACCCTCCGCAGTAACATCATATATTGTGAGAACCAATCTATATCGGTAGGGCGAAGGCAGAAATGCCCAGTAAAATACACTTCTATATCGGTTCAATTTAATCAACATATCACAGTGCATCGCACAAAGGCCACGGTCCCGCTAGAGGAACACTCTATACAGATACGACACCTACAGCGACCAGTCCCTACGGAACTGGCCAGCCCTGTTTGGACAACGATCTCTACAAATAGCAGGAGGCAGATTCTGATGTAGGAGAGAACGAAGTGATGAGACAAACCATCATGTGCCTATACGGCAGCGTAAGAGAACCAGGGGTAAACTAAGGGAAATCAAAAACACGTGCTTTCAGTTAGACCCGAAGATCGTAGTCCCCACTGAAAAGTGGCTATCGCATGAAACTTCTCCGAGGAGGTAGAATACGCAAAACAGTGGGTGGAGTGGCAATATACATTAACAGTCATATCAAAGACGTACCTCCACACAGAATCAAATTGACCAACGTGACAGAATCGTGCTCTTAGCTTTTCCATTTAAACTCTTCAAAGTACTTAATTAAAGAAACATATCGACAACTCACATGTTATAACAACCGGAACGATATCACAATCGATACTAAAACATCCACACCCGACGGTTGACCAAAACACTACTGGCACGTGACGTCACTGCTGAAATCACAGCAAGCAGCAGACGATATTTTCATGGTGGTTCTGCTAGCGGCCTGTCACATACGTTGTCCGAATATGTTGGTGGTTCCTTGAGTTGGGGTATGAACGAAAAGTCCTCAAGCTCAGGTTGTTCTATGATAGATGATCAGCTTCTATCTATCTGCCGTGTCCACACGTCAATAGGAAACAGTAACAACGGTACAGATATGTCTATCGTGGTCTCAAACGAAATGCTTCGGGACGAGGGAAAGGGGTTAATTCTTATCCCAGCTATACCAAGGCAGACTACACGACCATGAGGGGGGATCTTTAACGCCTACATGACCACAAGAGTGATGGAGGCTAACAGTAGATGGCCACTTAAAGATAATGAGGGACATTATTCAGAATGCTATTCTATCCAATGGATCCGAGGTAAAAAAACACATAGAAAGCGAAGATACTGAGTCAAACGAGGCACGGGATGCTTGCTAAAGACCAAAAAGAGAGCCTGGCATAAGTGGAGAGTCTTCCCGGGTGACTCTGATTGTAGGTCGTAATTGGCATTGAGAAACGGATGCACCGTAAAGTCCTGAGTCGGTGAGAGATGCTTTCAGGTTAAGTCACCAGCCAAATAAATGTTAATCTTGAATGTCCACACACATCCATGACTAGCTTTATATTATTGATGTATTTGTAAAAACAGTATATAAAGAAATTCCGTAAGTTTCCCATCATTTATTCTTCTTTGGATATAATACCTTCTTTTTTTGAGGCGTTAGGCGTAATGAAGATCATGTGCATTTATTTTTAATCGATTTGTTATCCGCCGGATGCGCTGGGACTACTTTGGAGGTGTTGCTTTTTCCTTTTGTACTTGAGTTTTTAGTTCCATTATACAACTCGGTTCATTTGTTTGATGGTATATCCGGCTTTAAATCACTCTCAGTCTGCCCCTCTCGTCTGATGGGCCGTAGTTGGTTCTCATTTCCTACCCATCTTTTCCCTCTGACTTTTACTTTACAAATGACTTTTCCTCCTCTGCAGACTATAGTTTCAATCTTCCTTGTTAGTTTTACTCCTTGGAAATCTCATAATATTGCCGTTTACCCCATACTGAACTTCCGGTTAGTGTACCATGCCGCTTTTTGAATTGTTGTTTAGTCCGTTTATTCTTAAATAGACTGATTCTAGGTTTTGATTTCATCCGTTCTAATGGTATTCTAATTTTCCTTCCAAACATAGCTTCTGCTAGGCTTTCTTGATTATTCGTATTCATATTATTCATATTCATATATATTGCTGGGTTTGACTTCACGCGTTCACATTCGACGTTAGACACCATAGTATCCGTTATCTGCTGGAAAATTGCTGGAGCTGGCTTATCACCAAACGGTAATCGGTTAAGTCGATAGAGTCCACGGTGGGTATTAATGGTTTATAACCCCTTTGAATATTTGTCAACTTCCACTTGTAAGTAGACTTCAAACAAATGAAGTTTAGCAAAACAACACACACCGCATAATTCAACAAATAAATCCTATGGCAAAAGTAGTGGATATGAATTATTTTGTAAAACATCGTTTTATCCTGTTGAAAAATCTGCACAAAGGCGAATAGCTCCGTTTGCTTTCTGAACTACTTCAATTGATGCTGTCCGTGCTGAAGTTGCATAACACCGAGCTTTTCTAGTCGGTCTAATTCTCTGTCAACTTTGTCAACTGCTGCATATAGAATAAGACGTCTTGTTTGAAGAACAAGTTTCACGTCATCTCATCAGTATAATTTTGCCTATACGATTGTGCAACATCCTAACTTATTCTGGAGCAAGTTTGTATGTTTCCATAAAAGGTTTTCTATCTTTATGGCTTTCTTAGCCACATAAACGAAAAGCAGATCTGAAGGACTATTTGAGTATTTCATCGCACATATTTCGCTCAGTGGTACATCCCGTAAATTTAGTTTGTCTATCCAATCTATACCAATAAGGTCCAAGTAATGTATGTTCGTCAAATAACAATTTCTTGTGAAGTAATTGTCTCAGAATTCAGTAGAGTATTTTATTATTCCAACAATCTGTAATATGTCTCCGGATGCAGGGACCTGACAAATACGTACTCGCCCTTGGATTACCATCTCCCTCTTGAATTAGCTGTGCCTGATGCATGCCTTACGATAGTTATCATTAACAACCGCTTTCTATCTCAATTACGGCCATCTGCGTGTTTCTACTTGTTCTTTCAGTTTGGTCTTTTCACTCTGTCTGAAATACTAATTAATTAAGTCATTTACTTCTTGAATCCATCATCTCTTTGCATTCGAATAATCGCTTTACTATTCTTTACATTAAGACCAACTAGCCCCCTAACTGGTAATACAATAACTTCTGTTATCCGAAACTTCACTCGTTAGTTTGAATTTTAAAAGACACAAATCTACAAGCAACTACCAAACTCATTAGAATTACTGCAATAGAGTGGCTAGGATGCCATACGTTGGACGTTACGAAATACCTGTAACTGTACTACAACGACGAGAGGGGAGCTCAGAGAAATTAATCAGCTTATGCGAAATCGCGACAGAGATATCAGAGAGATAAACGTGCTGAAACTCGACAAACAAAACCCCATTATTTGGGATTTACTTTACGTATCGATGTGATAACATAAAGACATATTAAACTGGATTTACTCCAAATATTTATATACATGCGACTTTTTTATTTTTGTGATTACTTTCCATTCTCTCTTCTTATGATGTACTGGGTAAACATCTCGATCATATATTTGGTCACATAATTATAAATATAGTATTAGGAGTATTACAGTAATTTTTCCAGATAGGCGGAACTCGATTATTCTGCTAAAGTAAGGATGGATGAAGGACAAATTTTCGCTGAAAACAATCTAAGCCAGACAGAAACTAATGTTTCGTGCACAACCATTTGAACTTATTAGTTTGGCGTTGCTAATGGGTCCGAAAGAGCGTGTTTCAAACTTGAAGGTCGTTTTTGTATGCAGACTGTGGAGAATGCCGCTACCTAACCTAGATTCTTTGAAAAACATCGCCGTCGGAAAAGATAACGCAAATAAACAACAAGTATTCAATCATATTCATTTCTAAAATCATTAGATTGTGCATATTTTGAAGGGAATTACGGATCAGGAAGTCCCACCAAAGCAAAAACATATTCGTGGAATTATTTTAGCTACATTTAGTGGAAAGTCTTCGTCGTTTTTTTATGAGACTGCACTTAAACTCGCCATATACACCAATCCTGTAGTCTGCTGGAAGTTTCTATATGTTATCCATAAATTGTTCCGAGATGGGCATCGTGAGGTATTGTATAACAATACAACCGATTGATGCATTTATACCATATTTTAGTGCGTAAGTGACGGACTACGTCACGCAACCAGAGTTTCCCAGTTGCAGTCTGCCTGGGTAAATTTTAGCTAATAAGTCTAGTATAATTTAGAGTAATCACGCGACAAAGTGTGGATATCCGATCGTAGACTTTTGTCAACTGATAACCCGTAAAATCAGCCTACACAGAAAAGTAACCATGTAAATTTATTCGATCAAGATATTTTAGTATGGAGTATTACCTGGAAGTCTGGAGCTAACTCCCAGTGAGCTGAAGAGTTGTCTTTCTGCACAAGTAGACCACTTGTAAGTCATTTTAGTACTAAACTTATTTTTTCCACTAATAAATTACCTTCATGGCAGAAAATGGTTCATATCTAAGTAACTCTTGAACTAATGTTTTATGATTATAATCATAAAGCATATGTCATTACAATGACCTAACTAAGAATTAATTTGATCAAGATACCAGGTTTCGTGTTATACAACTATTTTTTTTGCCTGGAAGCTTGCTTTTACAACAACCTCATAAGAGCGAGCCATAGCTTTCCAAATATTTTTTCGTGGTACCTGATTGTTGAAGATGTTCCAGATATTCTAACAACCTAATCTTTTCTATTACTACTCATACTGTTATTACTCTTACTTTCCTGGGATTTGTCTTGCTGTGGTAATGTGAAATGAAAACTTGGGTGGATGCACGTGTGCCAGGTTTTGCCCTTTATGTAACTGGCTGACTGATTCATTTTGATGGCTTAAGCCGGTAACTACAGAATTTTATTCAAGTAAGAATATGTACCCGACCATATAACATCTCAACGTAGTGTTAAAGGTCAAGTAATAGTTTTAGGCTTTAAAAGTGCGTAACGAATAATGCTCTGGATATATCTTCTTTCCTGTGAAAAAAGGACTGAGAAGATAAAGGGTTTTACTGATAACTCAAAAACTGTTATTCAATTTGTCTTTAAGCCTAGTTTCTAAACCGTTCCGACCTTCAGCAGAAAATCTTGGAAACTTCCAACATACTTGTGTCTATATTTAAGACTGGAAAGAGTCTAAAATAACTTTGTTCATGTTTTTAGTGTAGGTTTTTAGCCTGTTAGTTTTTAACATACAAAGATTGATTCTCAAAATCTCTAGGGCGTCAGTCAGAAGGATTACGATTCTCTGTGCTAACCTAAAGAGATTTTCCCGTTGATTGACATCATGTCGCAGTTTCTGTGAAGCTTTCTTCACTATTTTCCCCTATGTAGCCATTCCTACTAGATGTGGAGCGGCTTAGCATACATATTTTATGTAACAGCTACAAACTATGAGATTAAAGTATTTAATACCAAACTTGTAGTTTGTTCTGCCATTTAAACTCACTTATGTAACCTTTGACTTGATTTTCAAACAACTTAGTATTTTGGGAGTCTAGTGGTAGTTGAGGATTAAAAAAATAATTTAACCGATTTTACTGAACCCGATATTGATCCGGTGATATACCTCAAAGCTATCAGTTGTCTAATAAAACTTTCTCGCTAGTACTTAGTAGTAAGGACATACACCACATCAGACGATCCGGTTGTTGTTTTATCAGTTTGGTTCTACCTGAAATGATGACCGCTTAAAGTTCCACTTTTACTAATATATAAGTATGTAGATAAACATCTTACGGTTTGTTTCGTTTTTGTTATCAGGATTCAGGGTTTCATGAATAAAGTTACTGTGTTCCTTTTCTTAAGATTTCAATTTAGTGTCGATCTCATGGATATGCTGGAAGAAACATTGCGCTTCAAAGATGTTGTGCTCCTTTCTTTGGAGGGTATTCAAGCCGCTTCATTCACTCCCTCTGGTCAATGTAAACTTATTCCACTCATTCAATGTATTCAAGATGCTGCAGCACTCTATGAACTAAGCGTACAAGTCATCTTTAAGTTACACGAGTTATTAGGCAATGGAACAATGTCCGGTCACAGAGAACGCTTCAGAGATCTCCATATTTCTGTCAAGAAATTTTTTGAAAATGTATCCCACATGCAATATTTCCGTTCATTTGTTCACATACCTTCAATATCCCAGGTTTGTTATTGACATTTAGTTGTCAAAACGTATTTCATTACTTAGGCGTTTGTTTGTACTACTTTGCATTTTAATTTGTCAAAATGCTAACCCCTTTGTTATTGATAGTAATGGTAGTATTAACCAAAATCTTAAGTGACCGATAACATAAAAGTTTTTAGTTTCGGACTTCACTAGCTTGTTTAATATTGGTGGGTGTTTCTACAATTTTTTTGAGCGTTATTACTGAAGTTTCCTTTAAGTTACTTTTTTTTCTAATTTTCAATTAAATAAATCTTCATAATCTTTTTCGCAAGTACGAAATGGAGGTGTCAGTCGATCATTTTACTAGCAATGGGTCCAACCATGACATATTTTTGTTGAACTGTTTAGTATAATATATTGTTACGTAAAAAGATTTCATTTTTAACAATATAGTATAAACGTTGGTCTCTTTTGCAGTTAGTGACACTATTCATCCAGTTTTATAATGGGACTAACATCGATAAAATGTGAAACCCAATACGACAGTACACCCTATCAGCCTTTACTTCAGTACGCCATAGTAAAGGTAATTCAAGAATGTCGAGGAAAAGGTCTGATAGAAGGTACGATCCGAAATATATAGATATTCAGAAATAAGTTATTCTCTGTTTACACCTCAACAGGAGGTTAATACCATTTTTCAACCTTTAATGGTGCTTCTTTTCATCAACACCCACTTTCTACATTGTAAAGCTCCAGGCTAGATGGCTTCATTAATTGGTTCAACTATGTACAAGAAATGCTTCAGAGACACGAGTAACCAAGTGCGTGTGGTCTTTTTAGGGAATTTGTTTTTGGTGGCTTATTCTGATAGTTTTCTAATTTAAGTGAACTGATTATTATATGCTATGCTTGCTATGTAGTGTTGGGAATTTCACTTTAAAAACCTAATATGGCATTCAGTTCAACTGATTTAATAAAATTGTCCTACCAGTCTGAACTGACTAAAATATTCGGCACATAGGGTCCGACGTTTTTTTATAAATTCTATGAAGGATTTGGCTTTCATACATTCTATAACTTACCTTATTTGTCGTTATAGACGGTAAACTGTTACACCTGACGTACATTAATGTTAGTCTACCACGTATATAAGCCTTTTTATGCCTTATAAATTTCAGTTGATGAGAGTTCATCGATCACTTATGGATAACGTACGGTCTGGCACAAGTATGTATTGGTTCAAGTGTACACACTTCATTTCTGGATGGCTAGAGAGTAAATAAACTAGGCAAAATATAAGAAAATGAAATTAGTTTCAGATGAGGCAAAAAACCGAAAATGGCTAGTAAATTTCGAAAAGATTGGATGGAATCGAAGAACTCAAGATATTGTTTGATGTTGGAAACCAAGATTCAGAGGGAGAAAAAAGACCAATACATATTCTCCACCGAATTTTTTTTGGTGATTTAATTTCAGGTCTCCTTATATAGATTACAATCGTCACAAAAATAAGAATGTCTAAATCTCCCTACGCGTCCCAGACTTAAGGTCAATAACTTGATGGACTAGTACCGAGCCTTGGTGAATCTTCCAACTTATGTTTTTGGACAGAGTGATAAGCAAAAGAATTAAAGAAGTAGTTTTGATTGGATACTTAACTGTCAGGGATGTATCAAAGCTACGAAATGGACACTGACTATTCAACACACAAATGAAGCTTACGGTTTAATGAAAATGCCGAACTTTGCGAACGGTTAGGTTTAGTGAAAGGCATTCAGGATTCTAGGTTAACTTTGGTTTGTTAGTCAACATAAGACTTTCTACTAACAGCAGACTATTTATATACCTTATAGTTTTCTTATCCGCCTGCTGTATTTAGTGATTCATCATAGTTTGTGGTTTAATAATTTAAATTTATGAATGAGTGCTTCATAAATGAGTCATTTTCATACAAAAATTTTATAGTAAGTCTTATTGGTTTTGTTATCATATAACAGAAAACTCGTGACTTTTAGACCATAAAGTATGACCGAATTTATGTAGCGGGACTTCATTGCTTGCATATAAACTAGCTATGGGTGGTTGAAGTCGTTGTGAGATGTAAGAAATACCATTTATTCAGCTATACTTGAAAACATTAATAATAGAAACGTCTCTTATAATTAACGCATAAAGAGTGGTAAAACATCAAAGCGAATATAATACCAAATTATATGATGAAAGGTGAAGATTTGTGGCAAGATGTGGAGTAAAATGTATTTGAACCTGTTTCACTAATAAAAGTTTCTACTCAGTTTTTTAAAAACTTATAACCATCGATTTTTGTTTTTTTCTAAAATTCAATCAAGAGTTCTAGGATTCTCCATATGGCTACACATATATCTCATAACTACTGTAAGTTATCATATAAGTAATAACTTACCCTCTTCTCTTCTGTTGCTCTTATTTACTTCAACCAATATTTTATGTCAACCTTATTGATTTACTTTATTCTTATTCTTCTATTACAATTATTCAGTATTCTTGCTTGACACTTTTTTAATCCATGTACATATATATTTGTTTTTATGTTTGTCTATAGAATCCGCCGAATTTTTGTGTTCAGTCAGAACTGAGTGAACATACTACACTTAGAGTTACGATGAATGAATCACAATCATTATCTCCACCACTGCCACCATCTTCACTGTTATCGACGGCAGTACTAGTGGATGAACGGAACAGTCCACATTCAGGTGACGAAGAAGATTCTTGTGAATTAACCATTGTACCTAAAGTTATGTCACAAATTCGTCCAACTAAATTATCAACTGAAAAACAGACACTAATTAAATTAGGTTCTGAAAATACGGATGTAAATGAGAAGACGGTTATGTTGTCAAAAGAAGTGAAAATGGTGAGAAATTCTTATTTTGTAAAACAAGAACAACAAACATTAATGGGTAAATAAATTTATTTATGTAAATCAGTTGGTATGCGGAAAATTTGTAGCTTTCTAAATGAAATGAATTCACTTCATCCTGAAATGCTTGTTGTTCCTGTTTAACAAGAGTTTTATTTATTATCTGAAAATTTTCACTCATATTTTCCAAAATTAACCATTTTATATTTGACCGTAACCACAATGGTGCTAATTTATTTCTTACTAACTTGCTCATAAGCTGCCACACGAAAAAGAATGATGATGAGAATGTGAAATTTACTGTTAATTTGACTATTTTTTGCATTTTCTCTTTTGTACATGATGTCAGTTTCTGTCCTAAAATAAATGAAAATCAGAGAGCTCTACACAACCGTTGTGTTTCAATCTAATGTTCTGAAGTACTACTTTACTGAGTTCTTTTCTTTTATCAACTATGATGCTTTCAGGTTCTGTAGTGTATACATTAGTACCAAACTATTGTATTTTAGTCTAAAACTCGGTATCTTCTAATTTTTATTATTTTATGGGAAAATCATTCGTTTGTTTACGGATATAGCTTTCAGTTATTGATTCATTGCTTTGTATATTCTATTACTTAGTTTAGTCATTCTAATCACTTCGCTTCATTAGCTATTGTATAACATGTGTATCTAGTGATAGAATACCTCAATTTGAACTGAATTAGTATGTGGATCGTATTATATTGTCCTTCATTGCTACTGGTACGGGTTTGTCCTTATCACTAAAAGTGGTCACTAATCTAGTTTTTAGTAAGGCATTCAGAAGTAATTTGATATGTAAATTCATAGGTGGGCCCACTGTTCATTACTTTCAAGGCATGTACTAGTGGTAATCCATACCATTGCCTTAATTAATGGACCATTTATCTAGATTTCATCAAATTATCTAATCTTTCATTATTGTTGACAGTACTCATTAAAACTTAGTTGGTTCAAAATGTTATAAAAATAATCTAAGTCATCTTGAGTAAAATGTTCTCTGGCTGGTGGATAATAAATTGGAATACACGTAGTAGCTCTACGGCACCTTATGATTTAAAAAGTTACTAAAATGTAGAAAATGCACGACTTTTCTTTACGATTTGTAGACTTTTTAGCTTCACACACAAAGCATAATTTCAGATAAACTTCCTTAATTGATTAAATGAATGAAAAAATTATCATGCAGTTTACCAATCGGTGTTAGATAACAGAATTTTCATTGTCTGTTGTTAACAACTACAATTGTTATTTTTCATTTAAACCAATCTATCTAAGATCATACAAAAGTTATATTTGTTTCTTTAAATCGCTTATGGATGATAAGCGTCTAAGTTCTAGGATAGGATGTAACCATTAAGTTCATTTTTTGCTTTTGTGATGTTATTGGCTGTAAATTTACAACAAAAGATTGATTTTACGTTCAAAAATAACTTATCCGTTGATTTCTTTACGAACTGGGGGACCATGAAATTATACCGGAAAGTGTAGTGTATCCTTAGCATAAAAGATGGTAGTTATCAGTATTTATTGACGAATAACTGATGTTTAACTTGGTTATTTGTATGTAATTTGTTGGAATGAGATGTTTGATCTTAAGGTAATTTACATCATGGACTAATTTTAACTAGGTGATCATGGAAAACCAGGCAATACTGGACAGCTACTTCGTCCTGATACCGATCTTACCAAAAGTAAGCTTCAGCTATTAAACGACAGAGCCCGCAGTTCACGCGTTTCCTCTAGATCACTGAGGTAGAATCCACTGTCTTATAATTCCAGTGCCAATCAATTTACGACAGACTACGATCCTTAGTCAGCGTCATCAGTGAGTGAATTCTAAGGAGTCCCATACTACAAAAAATAACCAGCTATTACTTCCTGGTTTTCAGTAATTTCCTAACTAAGTTTGACCTGATAGCTAAACTACATACAACTTATAATTTTAATGAATTTTTACTTTTATATCAACGTTCAGGATCCAAGTGTCAATGATAAACATCACCATATTAATAATAATAATAGTAATACTATTGATAATAATAATTTGAAAATGAATTGGAACCCATTTTTGGATAATTCAATTCAAACAAATAACCATGCACTGTCACCTTATCATACTCATGTAACGGATGAAAAGTAAGTGAATAGTATCTTCTTTTTTCTCGAAATAATTGATTTCACAAATTTCCTTTTAATTTACAGAAAATAATTTTAATGAATCCATAACAACAATTAAGGCAGAATAACATTAATTTGTTTTATTTCGTGGTTTCGTCTCAGCTGCCTACACATGTATTGGTGTTAAAATGTAGCATTGAACTATAATACGATATGAAATTATGGATACTGGTGACAGAAATAATTAAAACAATGATTGTCTGTTATATATATGGATAAACATGTGTGAGGTCATTTTAACATGGAACTAAAAAAAATAGAGATGAGGTAGTATGTAGAATCTGGAAACCAAAAACTGAATTGTGTAGTAATTATAGGAGATTTTAAGAGTTGACATAAGCTTTGAGAATTAGATTGGTGAAAGATGCAGATATGAATGAAAAGATAAATTTAGCATAAATGAAGTAGCACTTAGCTTACTGAAGATTGAATATCAAAATAAATAATAATAATAATGATAATAATTAATGGTAGTTTTAATCGAAAACATGAATTTACCGGGGCAAGTATAAATTAATAACTATCTTTTTCCAGACAGATAAATACAGTTTGAAATTTTTAATTGATACTATTTAGGCGAAACGTAAAGAAATGGGATCATTTTAAAGGATTGAGAAACGTCAATTATATTCCTGTTGTCAATTAAGTACCTAGTTGTTGCATCTTTTAGTCTCCAACTATATAAAACGTGCTTGGAAATGCGAACATGTGTTCTTCTCTCTGTTCTTCCAACGTATGTGGTTTAAGACGTATATACTAACTAACAAATACAGTTGAAGGAACTGAGAAAAGGGAACTTGTTGGTTTACTCATGTTTTAGGGAGGAGTTGATTTCACATGAGGTAGTTAGCCTTGCTGGTGTATAAGTAATCCTCATTGTAGCATCAGTTATTCAAATAATTTCCTCTTTTATGCGAAGATGTACAGAGCAAGTTCTGTTTTCTGTTGTGTCATGATTAGCAAGTTCGTTAGTTGCAGCGTGCTTCTCGACGGATTTCTGTGAGTATGAATTTTAATGTCAACTGTTGTTAATGACTGCAAACTCTTCTTCTAGTCTTTCGTTGGCTCATGGTTTATGAATACAGTCAAAAGGGTCCGTACTCTCTCTCCTTTATGACTTGTTGAACTAAAGCTGTTATGCTTAATATAAACTTCGCTCCATGTGCTTTTCCGATAGGTGAAGCTATATGAATCATTCTCACTTGAACTTCGTTAAATTTCAATTCCTAAGAAATGGATTTTTTCTTCATCCTTATACTCCATAGTAAATTCTATTTCCTAGTGTTGTTTGTCAGGAGGATTAAAATAGGCGTGTAGCATGCTTCAGAAATGTATCATCAACTAATTTTGTTGAGCAACCACAGGAAACCATAAGGCACCACATAATCTGTTTCTGTGATTTCCTGATCAGATACGCTAATGCACTTTGTTATAACCGCTAACCTAATTGGTCACTGATCACACTAAGCCTGTTTGGGTTTATTATTGTTTCCAAATCCATTTGCAAAAAGTAACGAATCATTTATGATTTTTTGGAAGTTAGTTCTTGATCAGTGGACGCGTTTCAGGTTTCACCTTTTCACTGGGTTATATCGTTTATTTGTAGAACATTAAGTGTAACTGGGGGCGTTGATTTATTTATGATGTTGCACTTATTCCTAGTTGATTTTGTGATCTCTCTAGATTATTTGGTATAGACTTGTTAACGTATACGTGAGTGATTTACATCTAGGTCAATATACAGCAGTTACACGATTATAACAGTAATTAAAGCGATCGACTGAACATCAGTTAACTTAGTTACTTACAACAGTTTCTTGTTTATTAAACTCTCACATATTTTAGAATCAGCTGTTTGACGACTACTAATTTCAATTAAAAAAACGGATAAAATTATTTAAAATAAGTATGAGAGTAGTCTTTATCTTTGTATGTAGTAAATTTATAGTGATATTAAGACTTAGTTACAAAAGTTAAATTAAACTAACTGTATTAGTTATCAATGTATAAATAAGATGTGATCTATTAGATACGTAATCACTAACTACTTGAATGTACAATATTTACAATAATCGAACATTGTATTATTATCTAAATTCAACTTGAAGTTACTCTAGCCGATAAAATTTTATACCAGTTATTGAAATACTGAGTCAAATAAAATGTAAACAAAAAAACACATTAATAAATTATCGTTCTAACTCTTATATAATTTAAATTTTTATTTTTCAATTAATATACTTCCGATTTCTTTGAATTGTTTTAGAAAACAATGTGTACATAGATATTACATTTCAGTTGTCAAAATATCAAGAACTTGTTGTGAATCATATTCTGTACATTTTGTGATGGGAGCTTTTTACCACGTATATATATATATATATATATATATATATATATATATATATATATATATATATATGGATGCCAGTGATGAGTTGGATGCTATATAATAGAGGGTTCATATTTAATGAGATGGTTAAAACTGTTGACTGATAAATATTGTGTTGTTAAGGTAGTGTAGTAGTATGATTATTCTTGTGACTGAAAGTGGGACTCAAAACTGCATGCTGCAACATTTAATTGATTACTAACTAATAATAATTCATATCGAATAATTAAATGGTTTGGAATAAAAGAAGAGTTTTATTTAACATCTACCCATCAATTAATAACTTTGTAGAGTTAAAGATATTTAAATGAATAAGATGTTTTAGTGCTCTTGATAATAAAATAATTACAAGCTTGTTTTATTAATTACAATATTGTCATCGCTGAAGTCGATAACTATATTGTGGTGCGTGCTACTTATATTGATATAAGTAGTATATTATGCGAGTCAGGAATGTAATGTCTGGCAGCAGAAGATGAGGGAAGATCAAGAAAACAAGAGCGGGAACAGAATGGAATTTGTATGAAAATGTAAGAACAATGAAGTCTGAGGCATTTTGAGACAGTTGGTGGACATTTTGCAGATTAACGATTTGATATATAGTTCTCAGATTTTAATGAGATGCTCTGTAATTTCATGTCAAATACATCCGATTGTCACCACCCGTGTTCTGTTAACTACAAACAGTTGGTTTACATGGCTAGTTCACTTCCCATTTCATTCCTCACTCGGTGCGATGATATTATATATCGCTATGAAACATTTTGGACTGTACGGTTATTATACTTGATAATTAGTAAAAAGCCATTGTATCGTTCAATTACAGTCCTGTACATCAATGGGAAGGTTCAAATAAACAATGCAATTTAAAAACGGTTCACATCAAGGACTGAATTTGTCCGGTTAATCATTATAAATCAGCAAACACTGGGACATCGCTTTGTCCCATCACGGAACGTTTGAGCCAGTGCTCATGTACGCTCCTAGACCGAAAACCTGACTTCGTGGCTATAATATAACCTTTAGATCACTGCGTTCTTATCTAGTAGTTCAAATATTATACTTTAGTTTATTCGTGATATAAGAAAACCTCTACAGATCAGTCAGTCATAAACAACGTACAGCTTATCACAAATGTGCATTGGTTCAAGTTGTCATATTATTTTAGCACGATGAGGTGAAATTAACAGAATGAATAGCAGACTAATTAAAATGATGTGGTAGCAGTGATATGAGAAAGGGTAGACGTTGGTAGTGTTGCTCGGTATGACAGAGTTTAAAAGTTTGTACGAAGTAATATTGGAAATTAAGTTTTAGAATACGACAAAGATTAAATGCACCTGCACAACAATGACCATCTACTTTTCACTATAACCTCGAAAAGAATTCTTGAAGTGAATCGATAGTGAGCATAGGAGCATTATCGGTATTAGGATGACAAGTTTGTAGATGTCGTTCAGTTCACTGCTAAACTTTATATACTGAAAAGTGTTAACTTCAACACAGTTATTCGTAAACTGTTAATTTATTTTTAATTTTTAAATATATTTCAATCCGAGTTCGAACATTAGTGCTTTTTTTGATTCTCCAACTCTCGAATGGTTCACTTTTTTTTTTACTTCTGTTAGTATTGTAAATCTAAAATCTATGTACTTCATTATTTAATAAGCTTCGGAAAATCCCATTCCATCCATTTGTAGGTTACTTGAGGGGTCAAATACTTTAATTGTATATGTATATTTCATAAATTATGAAGTCGACACAAACACTTTCTTTGGTAATCATAACAAATACAAGCAGATATGGATTGGGCTAATATTTCAGGTTGATTAATTTAAACATTCCCACCTGTTTGCTTGATTGAACCAGGTTTTGCCTACTTAGAAGCCGAAAAGTGGTTATTTAAATCTCTATATGGGTTATACTTGAATACTCGGCATATTAAGAGAAGTGTTGAGTTTGTATCGAATCTTCAGAAGCTGTCTGTGTGGTGTTTCAAAGGCCATGATCAGATTAGTAACTTACGTACGCCTGTTACCCCTAGGGGGAGCATAAACCGTCCACTAGGTTTCTCCAACCAACTATATTATGGGCTCTCCTTTCTAGTTGTTTCCAAGCGCTACATTATGCTAGACTTTAATTCTTGTTTTATAATAAACTACGGATTTGTCAACGTTTCACTAGACATGCTTGAATTATTTTCGAACAAGAAATTTTTTTCACCATTTCCTTATTTAGAAGGTATATGGGAAAATCGATGATTTTAGGTCAATAAAATAGTCGTAGCATATTCAGATGTCATGTATTGTCTGTAGGTCCTTAGATGATCAGTATTTATAGTTCATTGCTCAATAGTAACGACAACGATTAGTATATGCTAACTTTTAAAACCACTGTGTCATGTTGAAGATTTTAACTGTTGATAGCTATCAAAGTTTGTGGAATATTTTTGAATTGTATTAAGAAGTGTACAGCTGTGTGTTAAGTTAAAATATACACATGCTTCATCGTTGGGATATTTTTGTGTACCATTATCGTACATCAAAACCGATTAAGTCAGTAGCAATGAAGGAAAATTTAAACACTCAATAATAGTTAATTGAAAGCCATGTTTAAAAATAGATCTTTATACCAGTAATTTTGAGGAATAGTGAATTACTTGGTAGCAGGTACAGTAACCTACTCTTAAAAATCATGTCATTTGATGATACTAAAAAACAAAAGAAAACCAAAATCGTGCAATCTTGTATGCACTAAGGACTGATCAACGTTTGAAGCTTATTTTTCACAAGAAGAATTGTCGCTATATAAACTTATTTTTCTTGACAACTAAAGAACATATGCTCAAATAAAATGATTTAAAAAAGGAGCATTGATGAAAATTTTGGAATAAATCTAAGATCTTACCTTGACAAATAACCCTGAATTGTACTGTGGTGAATAATCCCCATTATTATCGATATTTCTACTATTTGTTTACATTTCTAACGATCTATTTATTAGCTAATAGTTTCGTGAATTTCCACCAGATTTTGATTCAGTCGAAATCAAATACTTTGATTTCTTTATTTAGTATAGTTATTAAAAACTTTTAAGGTGTTCACTTGATAAAAATAAACAGAATATTACCCTAAATAATAATCAATATAAATTTATTAAAAAATCGATTTCCTTAGGTTACTGATATCAAAGTAAGTGTTCCTGTTAGATATCAGTTGTGTATTCATAATGAGCATTTAATTAACTTCATAATAAAAGTGTATTCATAATCAAACTACATGTTTTTGCTTATATGGAAAATTTTCAAGGGTTAACAAATATCAGTCAAATTTTCTTTATCCACCATATAATTTCATTATTCATCAAATTGATAAGTGTATATGCATCAAAATTTATAAACAGTTTGCGTTATTTAACCTCCTTTAATTAGATTAGAATTGAGTTAACTAATTCCAATTTCTTAATATCCTTCTCTCATATTGTATACAATATTCAATGATTAATACACAGTACTCTTGAAGGATTTCATTTCAGTAATTTCTTTATTTCTTAAGTTCAACTATTTATTCTTACGGTTCAAGGTTACTTTCTAAGAGAATAATTTTAATAAAAAAAGTAAATTTACTTTCAATAATGTTGTATTTTCTTAGTTGAATGATCTAAATGATAACAATTTCTATTCTTAATGTAAATTGATGTTGTCCTAAATGACAACAGATGATTTACAGTTGAACTTAATAACTTTAAATACATCCATTCTCTAGGGTTATTACTAGTAGAACTGTAGAAAACATCGTTTGGTTTTCGGAAAATATTTTCCATCCTTTTAATAACACTAAAATAATAACTGACTGTACTTAGTTTACTCTGTATATTTTATCTACATTTTTTTGTTACACGGACACTTTCATCCCACTATTTTATTCGAATATGTCATCAAATCATACAACTTGGTTTTGATCATTTTCTATATCTGACTGAATATTTGGAAATAAGTGTGAAGTAGTCCTGACTTTCAACTGGCACTGGATTTCGGTATTGCACGACTTATTTTGTTACCGTTGATTTGAAAACACTTTAACATATATATATATATATATATATATATATATATATATATATATATATATATATATATATATACTTTTAAAAATCTTATTTCATTCAGTACATAGATTATCATTGTTTAACTAAAATAATAATTTAGATCACATGTTGCTTTCATGTACTATATTGACAATTCATTTGATACTATGAAGTATATATCTAATCCAAAGTATTTCAGTATTGTGGTTTCGAATAGATTAATCCAAAGTAAACTCTCTGTTGTCATTTCATGCAATGGTCTCAATCCAAAAATTCCAATAAAACAAGGATGACATGAATCCCAGTACACGGTGAATTGATTGTTTTTCATTATTTTCTGCTCTCAGTCTAGTATACATTGTTGGAACTATTTCACTTCAATTGTCACTGTATTATCTACTAATGATAACTAGTTCTTTTCGTCTTGGAATGAATAAATCGATAGATTTGACTGGGTTTTCATAATGACTTACATTTTTTATGTTTACATCATTTCTTTTTCCCGACAAGTGATACTATATCTCTGTATTCTGTGGCGTCAGCCAAGGTTTGAAAGAGAAATTAAGCCAACAGTGAATGAGAATCGCGATGTGTCGAAAATTGATTGAAACTGAAATTTGATGCCATTGGACCCTGATTCAATATACTAAATATATTGTGACCGTTGGGGGGATTTGAAAATCTTCAATTGACCATAGGTGTGTACACTGATGTATAGTTTCAAACTAGAACGGAAAAATGGCTCAGTACTCTCTAGTTTTACTCATCATCCAGCTGACATCAGTTTACGATGAAATTCACCATTGGAATATATAAAAACTTTCCATTAAACCCAATCTATTTAATAATCAATTTTTATTAGTCTACAATCTTTCAGTTCTTCATACCTTATATAAACGAAAGTCTTGATTATAATGTTTCATTAAACTAATAATTACGGTAGCGTGAGTTCATTCTATTTTACTAAAGATGATTATCATCTGAACATAAATAAAGTATATGAATTTCCGTCATCGTAACAGAGTTATAAATTCCTTAAATAGAATTGCTTGTTTGTCAACAGTTATGTTGCCGTTGTTCAGTTAAGTAATTATATATTTTTCTGACGTTTCGTGACAATGTAAGCCACTTATTCAGAGTAAATAAATAATCGAAATAAGTTGATACAAACTTAAAGTATTATTAATCTGGAATAATGTTGTTCACTTGTACTCTTACTACTTTTCTCTCTGTGAATATATCGAGTATTCTTACTTACTTTACGTCGATAACTACTTTTTACATCAGTTCACTGGTAATCATTAGTGGTGTAGTGCATAGAGGAGAGTTTTTAGCGACATTATATATTATCTTGTCATCTACTTAATTATATTTGTGTGTATGTGTACGTCTTTTCGGTAGTTCTATTGTATATTTTAACTTTTCATTAATCTTCTATACTATTTTAAAACACTGTTTTACTGATCTACGGTACAGATTAATATTTCGTTGTATTTTTTTCTCCACTTAATACTGTATAGTAAATACATAGCTGTATTGATAAATATCTAAACTGTAATTGAATTCTTATGATAATCATTTCAATTGTTTATATTGGTTGACCGTAATTCAACTATTATTCTTTGATAAACAAATTATTATTTTTTAACTTTGATACTTTGGTACAGTCACTTTAAAGTCTAACGATCTATCTAGATAGATATGTGTATATTTTCCGATACATTGAGTCAATTTAACAATTCAGTTTGAAGTTTATTTTCATGTTGATACATTGTGTTTATCAAATTTTAAACTTCATTTTCCTTGCGAAAATGATGAATGTAATGATTATTAAGTCATAGGGAATGCAGTTGAGTAATTAAATACAATGGTTCAAGTCATAAGTATTTGTATAAAAACTAGTATATGACTGCATAACTGTCAAAACTTTAGTTGATGAGAGCATAGTGACAGATCAAATTGTTGAACGACAACTTCATGAGTTTGTGCATCCTAATTTGATTCGTCATCACTCTCCATCGTATAATTCATTTGTCAGCAATGCTTCATAAGGAATCCAAAAAAACCACACGCTGTACACTGGAGATCTAATATGATTAAACATGCATTATGATGTGGTTTAATTCCGTATTTAATGTATTATAAACAAATGCTAAACAACATTATTATAATTATTATAATTAAAAAGTTCATAGATGATTGCAAAAACTACTCAAATTTACAAAAACGTTTGTGTTAACTTAATGATGTCAGTGTTATAACGTTTTCAACCCTGTTAACCAGTCCAACACGAATATATATTACTTTGGAATGAAGTAAAACACCGTTTCATTATCTAATCGCGTATTTTCTCACATTTGGATAAATAATCATCTTTTTCAGATCTCGAAATACTTGATGTTTTTGTTGTTCCTTTTATTACTTATTCATGACTTTATTTGATATGAAAATTAAATATAAACAAATTCCTATTTTTTTCTACAATTAATTTAAAAAGGTAGTGATTCATTGTTTTCCCGATAAAAATTAATTTTTAGACATGAAGTACTCATTGAAGTGGAGTTGTTGAAGTCTGAAATAGAAAGATTAAAAGCAGAAGTAAGCAATATTTATACATTGATTTGTTAAAATTCTCTAAAAACTATAATGTTAGACTATGGAATTGTATCATTCTTAAAAGATTTTGAAAGTGACCAATTGAAAAAAGGTAGTTGTACATTGATCATTTGATCTGTAGTCATCACGATTTTAATGACCGACAATTTAGCTGAAAAATATACTGCAGATTATTTTAAAGAGTAAGGAATTACTGAAAACATTCAGTGCCATTATGGTTACTTTTCTTTAAAGATAAATAAGATGAACTGTTATTACTGTGTGTAATAATTTTGAAGTAGAAAATATATAATCAAAACCATGTTTTTTCCCGCTTTACTTTACTGTAAAATAAATGATGTAAAAGTATATATATAGGGCGACGATTATTCAACGGCAGTGATGACTATTTCACTCTCGACATGTCTGAAGGTCCTTGGTTCGATTTCTGTCGGAGTCGTGAGTGTGCACTGGTGAGGATTCTCATACGAGAACAAAACACTTCCAATGCTTTCAGTGGTACGTGAATTGGGATCAGTCTATGAGGAGCGATATTTGTACATTCCGACCTTGAATGACTAGTGCTTTAAAAGTTCAAAAATTGATGAACAAAACATTTTTTACTACTTCGTAGTTACGGTTAACTCAGTAATTTTTTCTCATGTTGAATGTTTTCGTGGTATTTTCTTAGTAAGGAAATCTTCTAGATATGAATGTTGGATTATTTACATCTCCCCTTTACTTCTTCCTGTTTTCGTTTAGCATCATGAACAATCTTATTCGCTTTTGAATCGTATACGAATATTAGAAGATGAAATCAAAGAACTTGTACAATATAAGTCTAATCATGAAGAGGTAAATATTTTTGAAAATATACTATATAGATTAAACGTTTATGGAAATCGTGTTTCATTCAAAGATCATTCACACCATAGATTAACTTTGCCTTTTGATTTTTTATGGTTATCGATTTAGTATCGCTTTGTCTTGTAAGGTATCTTCAAACCAAATAATAATATGTCTCCCATCAAAATAATAATATTCAGTTGCACATTAACAACTAAATCCGAAAATATTTCCCAAAGTTCTGTTGAGAAGCCATCAGCGGTAGACTACAGCCGTGTTAAAAGTGAGACAGTCATCACAAAAGGCAATAAATGAATGCCTTTGAATAAACTAGAGTACGTTATGTAGATCACTGATTACCGATTCACTGATATAAACGTAAGTCATTCGATAAGAGATTTGATGGTCATGCGTTCGACACCTGGTAGAGTCATGTGTGTACAGTGCTAAGAAGCCCCAATACCAATTTCCCCACGAGTAATAAAAATGAGTGACAATGGACAAAGAGTGCTACGAATTAAAATAAAAACCGAAGATTTGGTTGAAGATTAGATAAAAATGTAACTACTCCACTACAACCCATTCTTTCTCATATCTTCTGATTACTTCAACCACCAATTACGATTGTTTCTAATATAAACTATCGGGTTTAAATTGTTTGAAATGGTTCAAACCTGAAGTCAGTGTTGGTTGATTTCGACTACTAAATTTATGTTTTCACCCTTGTTAATTACTTGAAGATTGTATAATCGTACAATGAATTATACTATCTGATTAGCATTAAATGGTGATTCCTAATCGTCCAGTTATTCTTATATCTTATTTTGTATAGGGTCCATTAAATTCCATACATGTTACAAATCTCTATCAGTGGCGATAAAATATGTTCGTCTGATTATCAAAATATGTTTAGGTTCGAAATTGAACGTTAGATCTTATTGTCTTATTGATTATTTCTAACTGTCAAATTGAAGAATTAATGCATGCATTTTATTGTATACATAAAAATAGCATCATCTGACCAATTTTTAGTGAAGGTTATACCCATAAAAAAGCAGTGAATTTTCTCAAAATTTGTATGTGAATCAAAATTTCGCCATAGAAAATCTAAAATCAACTCTAAAGGGAATAAATGCTTCTTTTTAAGAAAAATTGAATTGATTTTTTTCTGAAATATTATATATATATTAGTAACTTGATTTGTTAAAAGTTTAAGATAAGTGTGTTCTCTTATCTAGTCTTCCATTTGTATATTCTTATCTAAATATACTGAAAAGAAATCAAATATTCAATGATCTGTGATTGAATAAAGCATGTTAAACATAAATCATATGTTGAGATTAGATGGCGGTTGGAGGTAGTCAACAGGAAACCGTGGACCCAGGTTTCGTGCTACTTGGCACTCATCAGCAAGGTTTACCTGTAATCTTGAGGGAACGGGTGCTCCCTGGCGGATTACGATCCCGTGTCACCCAGCTTCACAGTCAGAGACGTTACCACTGAGCTATCCGGCCCGTGGCTGACCTACTGTATGACTGTGATGTAATCACAATTAATTGATCACTGGGTGGGGATCAATGTCATGCGTTTCAAGTCTTTATTTAGTGCAGATCGAATGCTATCGACCACCTGTCGACTACCTCCAATCGCCATCTAATTTCAATATATAGTGCACGCAGTGTCGAGTCACCTAGACCGGTGGCCACATTGCAACATGGTCGATAGCATTCGATCTGCACTAAATGAGGACTTGACACGCATGACATTGATCATCACCTAGTGATCAATCAATTGTGATAGATCATGTGTAGAAGAGCATCCTGGAACATTTTAAAACAGATATACATGATGGTCAGGATTGGAATTCAGGACCCGCGTTTCGTTTTCTATCAGACTCGTCAGTTGTATGCACCTGCGCTACAGAGTTGATGTTCACTACCGAACTCGAACCCATTACCATTCACTTTCAGTGCCATCGCTTTATCCACTTAGCTACCGAGTCCAGATAGTCACTAGCTTGTATGATGGGTGAACTTTAATTTATATGAACTGATTAGTCGAATCCTTCTATGAATATTTAGGACTGAAACTGATCAGTCTCATTTAGCAAATGTGAATCCTGTGCGGATTGCCTCGATATTGCAACTAAGTTACATGTATTTTAAAGTTGAGAATAGTGGCGAGATCAAAACATAGAAGCACAAGATCCACATGTGCTAAAAGCGATTGATCAATTGCAGTCTCAAACATTATTGGGAAGATTCAAGCAACTGATAGATATAAATTCTGGAACATTAATAATAGCAAAAGACAAAAAGCTTAAAAATAAATGGTCACGTAAGAAACAAACGCCAATAATAAGGAAGAGTAAAAAGAGTAAAGCTTAATTATTTGGCGATAAAATTACTAAACTAGAAGAGAGTCGAAGAAATGACATAACGAACTAATCGAATGAGTGGATGAGTTGAAAAACCCCAATGAAAAAACAGTTTCAAAGACAAAAACGATTGACAAATATTTCCTGTTTAACACAGATCAGCTTTCCGACGCTTAGTGGCAATAGGTTCAGTAAAGATTTCATGGTGCCTACTTGTTTTTCTATTTCCAAATTATGTATAGAAATTGCGATACTCAATGTCTGTATTCCTTTTCAACGAAGGGTTTAGGGAGCGTTTCTGGAGAAATCAACGGTAGTCCATTTTTTTCATTAGGCAATATGACTTGTTTGGCAGCTACACCTACGTTTATGTAAAAATGACTGTGTCTGGTGTCTTTTGATTGAGTTAATAAATATGTTATTTTATTCAAGATTATTGGTTTGGATTCAGATTAGTTTCTCATTGGTGCAATGTTAATTCTTGTACTATTTGTCCTTAATGGGTATTTTAATTACTGTAGCTACTTTATTGTCCTTAGTTTCCCTACATTTGTGAATAAATACTAGTAGATATCAATTACCTAATAGACAGTTTTCAACAGTTTTCAGTTCTTCCAAAATAAATTAATAAAATGAAGATGAGATCTCTATTTAACTAGATGGTTTGTAAATTCAGTCATTTTCTCTGGTACTCTACAGTATGAAGTAGTTTATTGTATTGAGATATTAGTGAATATTTTTAGTTTACGAGGATGATATTGTTGAAATTGGATTATTTGTGCTGAGTGGTCTAATTATGAAGTTTTGTCTAGAAAGGCAATGAAAATTTAATAATCAAACCATCTAACTTAAGAATGCAATTTTTACAAAATTTCAGTGCGTGAATTTCATTGTGTATAGTAGCTGGAAAACAAAAATTGATTAATTTTCCTTTCTTATTTTTTTCCGCACTAATCCATTCGAAAAATTTTCTTCTTAGTCTTCTAAATAAGCAATTTCTTATTTGTTCTCTCATTTTTAAACAAAATTTTCATTTGTTCTTTCTATTGTTTGTTTAATCGTGTCTGTGTGTGTAATTGCTTATTGCTTGTTTACTATCCAGATTTCTACTGGTTTTTTCGGTGCCATTTTATGCTTCGGAAAAAGCTGAAATAATACTGATCATTTTTTTGAAGTTCAATGCCTAACTGTTTATTATTATTCTTAGTATCATTGGTAGTATCGGTAGTAGAAGTACGTCGTTATTTTCTATTAAATTTTATATTAACCAGTTGTTAAGGAGATTTATTAAGAAAGAAGGTGTATTAAGATTATTGACTAAGAAACTTAAAAGATGCTTTGTACTATCTGGTTTTCATTCGCTTTACAATTAATCATAATTCGTTATGAAAATTACTCTGAAATTCAACAATATTCACAAACTCGCTTTCCTAGGAACAATTAAGTTTCTATTAATGACTATTTTTGAAATGAATTCACAAATATTTAATGAAAACCCGATGACCAATTAGATATGTATGTATCAGGATCGGAATATCAAGAGTATCTACTTGTCTTACCTTGATACTTTTACTTAGTAAAATTGATAAACATAGAACTATGTAGAATCTCACTAAAGTTAATTGATTACTGTCATTTCTCTGTACAACAGTACAGTAAGAAAAAAGAGTAGAAGTGGAAAAATCATTATGAATAAAATAGGAAGAGACAAATATAAAGTATTCAAGACGTAGAGAAAAGAAAAATCGCGGATGCATCTCCATCATTATGGTCGATTTCGCTGTATGAAATCCGAAGTTTGTAAACAATGAATTCCATTATCCCAAATATCTCATTCAGAAAGTTTACAACTCCCCAGCTTACTCGGACCACTTGTCGTTGCTTTTATGAAACAGTGATTATCGTCTTCACTTGTCAACTAACTTGTTACATGGTCAATTGCAAACTTGTATAGTTGAACTCTGTTAATGGTTTGTATTTTCATTTACCTTACTTTTATTTTTGTTTTTTATTATACTCTGGATTTCAAAATTATTTTGCATCTTTCATTCTTGGAATCAATTATTTCCTCTTGAGTCAAATTCTTTAAAATTAATCTTTTTACTAATGTGGTATATGCTACCTATGTCTGTCGGCATACATAGTATGTAATACTGATCGGAAGTGGAAAACCTGGTAACAGAAGGCTAAGATGATCAAGTTGAAGGGGGCAGAAATGCAAATAGAAAGGAATTGCTAATAGGAAGAATCATGCATAATGAGAGGGATAAATTGTGGAAATTTTCAAATGGAGTATTAATTGCATGGTTCTCATACTTTACCAAGACATTCTGTAATTATGTGTTAAAGTACTATTGGTTGGCCCCGCCTGTGTTCTAATTTATTACACTATCTCCGATACCTTTTCATTACTACTTCTATTACTATAGTATTCATCTTGATAGACACATCTTTCTTTGCTGATATCTGATGTGGTAAGATGGACCGGTATTTATGTGCTTCAGATCCCACTTTGCTTGTGACTGATCATTGGACTTTTTAATTGACAACTAAAACACCTTTGCAGCTATATATATATATATATATATATATATATATATATATATATATATATATATGTTTTAAGACATTGATCCTTCTATCTTATGAGCAGATGTTTGGTATAATTAAGTTTTAACTTTAGGATATTTTTCATTTCAATTGGTTATTTTTGCATATACCCAGCAAACATGTTAGGGGATCTATGATATAGAAACTAATTTTTCGCTAATGTAATCATTTTTGCAGTGAAATAATACAAGTATTTTATTTAGTTAATAAAAAAACATCATTAAATGGATTAAATTGGTCATATTGTGTAAAGGATGTATGATATGAATAGCAAAAAATACTTAAATGATGTACTGTGAAGTACTCATCATTCCGACTACGAATTGAATTAGAGATCTGGTAGAATACAGACAGTTGGAGGTGGTAGTGGACATGAAACTCTTCATATGAAATTTTCAGTACTGTACAATACTCATCAAGAAATTATGAAATATCTCGGAAACAACTTATACGCCTTTCAAATTTTTAATGTTTCCTTTTTTCAATGATAGATACTTAGGATTTGTTATGAATTTTCGAGCTACCACTCCCTTATAAAATCAATGCGAACTGTGCTCATTTCATAATATATAAAAATTTACTACAGTATCTATCGCTAAATAAACTGTTAAAGAACAAAATATAATAGTGTAACAATTTTTAAAATATACTTTATCACCAAATATTGAATTAGGCATACCTGATTGGATTGACTATTTTTTGTAAGATGTTTAATTTTATATTGAAGGATTTAAACGTTTCTAAAAGTAACTTTTATGGTTACTTTCTGTTACCGCTTCAAATAACCTCTACAATTGTTTATATTACTAAACGGATTTCTTATTTTTATGATAGAATACTTTCAAGTTAACATGATATTATGATAAAAAGATACATTCAACATTATTAGCTAACCTATTACTTACTTACTTACTTACGCCTGTTACTCCCAAAGGAGCATAGGCCGCTGACCAGCATTCTCCAACCCACTCTGTCCTGGGCCTTCCTTTCTAGTTCTATCCAATTGTTGTTCATTCATCTCATATCTGTCTCCGTTTCTCAGCGTAATGTGTTGTTTGGTCTTCCTCTTTTCCTTTGGCCTTGAGGATTCCATGTGAAGGCCTGCCTTGTGAAGCAGTTGGGTGCTTTCCTCAATGTGTGTCCTATTCACTTCCAGCGCTTCTTCCTGATTTCTTCCTCCACTGGGATCTGGTTTGTTCTCTCCCACAGTACGTTGTTGCTAATAGTGTCCGGCCAATGGATCTGAAGTATTTTGCGTAGACAATTGTTGATAAACACCTGTATTTTCTGGATGATGGCTTTTGTAGTTCTCCAGGTTTCTGCCCCATACAGTAGAACTGTCTTGACATTTGTATTGAAAATCCTGACCTTGGTGTTGGTTGACAGTTGCTTTGAGTTCCAGATGTTCCTCAGTTGTAAATATGCTGCTCTTGCTTTGCCGATCCGCGCCCTCACATCTGCACCAGATCCACCCTGTTCATCAATGATGCTGCCCAAATACGTAAAGGTTTTTACATCTTCCAAATCTTCTCCGTCAATTGTGATTGGATTGGTGCATGCTGTGTTGTATCGGAGAATCCTGCTTTTCCCTTTGTGTATATTGAGACCTATTGCTGCTGAGGTTGCTGCCACACTGTTTGTCTTCTCCTGCATCTGTTGTTGCGTTTGGGATAGAAGGGCCAGATCGTCTGCGAAGTCTAGATCATCCAACTGCATCTTAGATGTCCATTGTATCCCGCGCTTTCCTTCAGATGTTGACGTCTTCATGATCCAGTCGATCACCAGGAGAAAGAGAAAGGGTGAGAGTAAGCAACCTTGCCTAACACCGGTCTTCACTTCGAACGACTTTGTCAACTGTCCTCCATGCACGATTTTGCAGTGTAATCCATCATATGAGTTCTGTATGATATTGACTATCTTCTGAGGCACGCCGTAGTGTCGAAGAAGTTTCCATAGTGTTGTTCTGTCCACGCTATCAAATGCCTTTTCGTAGTCAATGAAGTTGATGTAGAGTGATGAATTCCATTCAATTGATTGTTCCACAATGATCCGTAGAGTTGCGATTTGGTCTGTACACGATCTATCCTTACGGAATCCTGCCTGTTGGTCACGAAGTTGGGCGTCTACGCAGTCCTTCATCCTGTTTAACAATACTCTGTTGAAGACTTTTCCCGGTATTGAGAGAAGAGTGATGCCCCTGTAGTTATCACACTTGCTGAGATCGCCTTTCTTCGGTATTTTGATCAGTAGTCCTTCTTTCCAGTCTGTTGGTACTTGTTCCTCATCCCAAATCGTATTGAAGAGAATGTGGAGTATCCTTGCAGTTGCCGCTACGTCTGCTTTTAGTGCCTCCGCTGGGATGTTGTCCGGTCCTGCTGCTTTGCCACTCTTGATTTGTCTGATGGCCATGCTGATTTCTTCAATTGTTGGTGGGCCAACATTGATTGGGAGGTGCGTGGGTGCTGCTTCGATGTTGGGTGGGTTCAGTGGAGCTGGTCGATTCAACAGTTCTTTGAAGTGTTCTACCCACCTGTTTTGTTGCTCTTCAATGTTGGTGATTACCTCGCCTTCCTTGCTTTTCACTGGTCGTTCTGATTTGAGGCGATTTCCAGAGAGTTTCTTTGTCGTGTCATACAGTTGTCTCATGTTTCCTTCTCTTGCAGCCTTTTCCGCCGTCGTTGCTAAATCTTCCACATATTTACGTTTAGCTAACCTATATAACAGGGTAAATTAAACCGTTGAAATGTCGCGACTACTATCAATGTCAATCATATGTCCTATGTGTGTTTAGTAATATGTTACTTAAAAATAAGGGATTATTAAACCTATACTATAGTTCAATTCTGAATTAGAATGCCAATCTACTGAATTTGAATGTAAAGCTAAAATTTCGAAAGCAAAATTTTGTATGAGAATACTAACACCACAGACAATAAATGCTAAAGAATATTTCAGAGAGTAGAAGTAGGTTATAAGCTAAATATGGGATACAGATTGATGAAACTATAAACCTTTATTGATTAAGACAATGTGGATAAGTGTTAGACATCATTACTTACCACATACGCCAACGCTAAATATCGGCTATCATAGAAGTAGGTTAAACAAAAGCTGGGAGAGGATGACGATCAAGACACAAGATCATTTCTTAAGGTCACCAACTGCTTATTTGACTCACATTAAGGTTTTTTAAACGTTTTTATTAACGAGATAATCACAGTCTTAATTTGGAGACGGATGACTGGATTCATGATCTTTACCAATATAGCTGTATTCATTCGATACTATCATCTGATACTTGGGCTTCGTGTTATTGTGTACTTTTTTTTCGGTCTCACGCATTTTTTGAATATGTTTCTCATCAGGAGTTTTGTGGAGATTTAAATAATTTCAATAGCTGAACTCATGAGTCAATTGAAGCTAGGCCACCATGGAAAACCTAGAGGCACTGTACGGCCGTTTCGTCCTATTGTGGGACTCCTCAACAGTGCGCGTTCACGATCCCGTCTCGCGAGATTCCAATCCAGGACCTATCAGTCTCGCATGCGAGCGCTCGAACACTGAGGAGTCCCATACTAGGACGAAACGACCATCCAGTGCTTCCAGGTTTTCCATGACGGTCTAGCTTCAATTGAATCATGATTTCAACTAATGTTTCTCATATATATTTTTTCATTGTAACTCCTGTTACCTTCCTTGTACTTCTCATCCTTTTAATTTTGCTCCTTTTTTCATTTTTATATTTTTTTTCTATTTTTGTAATTTGGAGAGTGAAATAGCTTGAACCGATGGATCTCTTTGTAAACTTTTGTATTATTTCAAGTCTGTTTATGTGTATAAATACATTCATTTACTCTTTTTTATACTGATGTTTAGTTTTCTAACCGAAATTCGAAATATGTTATGTTTTTATAATTCTAATCTCTTTTTTTGACATTTAATGTTGTTTGGTTATTTGTAAAAAAAAATAAGTATTGTTTTTGTCCGATTGATTTTATATTCCGTCACTTTTAATTATATAATTGAACTAAGTAAGGCAAATATTTACATTTATTCATAGCAAATGTTTTATTGTATAATAAACGTAGTTTCCAAGTAAAATATATTGTATTGGATAACTTTGATTATTTTCTTCACTGTTTTAGTCGAATTTAAACCCTAGATATGGGATATATGAGTTTGAATCTAATTGTTCTCATTTCCAACTTTTGTTTAATCCTCACTGTTATGTGGTCATTATCAGTAGCCACGGCATCTAATCAATAACACATTCTTTATGGTTGAAAACAATCCTATACTCCTAGAACATTCTTTAATGATCTACTAAACTAGACAGTGTACTAGTCAAATCTAAAAAGTATATGTTAACCGTATACGCACAAAAAGTAATTTAAATTTTGACAGTTTGGGCCAGACATATTCCAAAAAAATATTTGACTCTATCAACATGGATAATTGACATTATTTATCATTTGAAACAAGTATCTTTTAGCATAATTGAAATTGCATTCGATCTTACCATAGTAACTAAGGTATTGAACATCTTAGAAATTAAGTTGCGCGTTTGAACCTCGTCTCATCTGTCTTGGTTTATAGAACTAAGTAATATTAACACTTTATCACAGAAAATAAAATCAATTACATAATGTCTATACTTAGTTATTGAGTTGTATAGTAAAATTATGATGACTGTTTTAAATATTATTAATTTTTAAAAATTATTTCGTTAATTGTAACCAAGTTACTCAGTCATGATTAAACATAGATTTCATTGAAATTTTCTCGTATACATTAATTCAGTTTATTATAAAAATGAACTAATTATTTTTGAACAATCTCATTTCCGTATGTTTTTCTTCTTTTCCACGTTTTTTTTTGTAGCAACAAGTGAACTATGAGACGAAATTAACTGAAAAAGTTTGTCAAGCTCAAATGTTTGAAGAGAAATTTCTAAAATTAAAAGAAGTCTATACTAAACTACGTGAAGAACACGTTGTTCTGTTAAAAAATGTATGTTTATCACGTTTCTTTTTGTATATTGCATATTAACTTCCATTCACTGGATGTATAAATATTTGATGAGTGATTAAACATTAGTAAATCGTAATTGTATGTGTCTACTAGAGATGGATTGCTTGAATTTTCAATGAAAAACTGTGATCTATGTGATCTGATAAGTAAAAATTAAAAGGTAGTAATTCTTCATTAAAGTTGGATGAGTATTGTGCTTTACTACTATTATCTGCAATCGAGAAGCTTTAGATTGAAATATATTGACTTGAAAAAATAATGCTTTTTGCAAGATTTAAAGGTTGAGTTCTAGATTTCTTGTGGAATCTTGGTATACGTTTTTAAAGAGTCTTAAACCAGGACGAAAAGATTATGAAAATTCGAACAAAACATTTTTTACAAAATTTGTGTGTTGAGTGAAAAAATGGGATTCTAATTGTTAAAATTCTAGTCGCTGAAATTTTTGCAAATGTTAATGCCTTTTAGATATCTATTTTTTCTTTTCAAATCCTCATTAATCGAGCAACCTTCAACATAATTAAATTTCTTTTCTGACCGTTTCTCTTTGGGTGGAGATTATGTTATCTTCTACACGACCTATTTTACGCAAATGTTATATATATATATATATATATATATTCTCATTACAGCAATAATCATGTTACACTTTGCTTCTTTGATAATAATTCTAGGTGTTTTTGTTAAGCAAACAATATAAATAGATTAGGTATTTCAGACCATTCGAAATGAAGATCACATTGAGCTATCAAAAATTTGTTCATATTTGCATGAATATCCTTAATAAAATAAAATAAAAATAATAAAAATTTGTCTAATTGCGAATCTTTATTACAACACTTGTTAGAGGTAATGACTTTTATTGAAAAACAATGCAAATATTATTGTTAGTTCTTTGTAATAAGCACACAGATTTCTGAGCACATATGATACTTAGAATAAAGCTTAATGACTTTATGTGTTTTGCTTTTATTTGTCTCGATTATAAATGGAATTGATCGACTGAAAAATAGGAACATGGATTTATCTAAACAAATTATTAACGTAATACATACGAAATAACACTAACCCACATTATGGAAGAATTCTACTTACTTTCAAGCTAATTGAAATTGCTTGATCATCATAAATTCTGCTACCTAAAATGAGGGGATGTTTCAATAAATATTAATAGAATGTCACTTGACCATCATAGCAAATTTTCTATATTTGATCGATATAATTAATGAAAGTTTTGTGTAAGGCATTGAAATAATATCATTAGGATAAATTAAAGCGACCGAATATGATAATGTAGCATCGCTTAATGAAGACTAATACTTGAATTTATCAGGATGTGCTGTTTCTTATTATGTTTTAACTTCACGATTTCGCCTCTAAATATGAGCACTACTACTACTACAAAGATAATTTTTTACCTCTACAAAAGCTACATTACAGATATTTAGTAAACGATTTCATAATTCAAAGTATTATTAGTGTGATTTTCAGTCATTTTCATATCTGTGAAATTCTACCACTAGACAGTACAGACTATTTTCGAAAGTCACTCACATCGAGCAGTCGATCTTTTTGAGCAAGTAGAAACAATTTAAATGCTGAATAGCTTTTCCCTTGTTCAATCAGCTATGTACACTTTTATTGCATAGTGTTCAACTTATGTGAATTCATCAGTATATCATAAATTAAGTGGTCGATTCGTCTAATGTTTACGAACTACACTTTGATAATTATTCTTTCTACATTGGATAACTATCACCAAAAATATTTTGTCAATATAGGTGCCTGGGACTTAGTCTTTTAGTTTAATTAAAAAATGTCTTGCAATCCGCGCCATGATCAACGTACATATATAAAATAATGAACTTTTCGATTGAAAATTAAATTATCACTTCTTTAAATCCACTGACATACAAGTTTTGATATTCATTCAAGTTAACTTATAACATAAAGAGACAAATGTATACCATGTTGTTGAGTACTTGTAATTGAATGATTAGATACTTTTCTAGTAGTGTTTAGGTGATAAGACACAGGAGGAGGATATATTTTTCGTGTGTTCATCATCTTAGATTTTCTGTATAAATATATTGTGTTATAATGAGTTTATTTTAGAAACGATTTGATTATATAAGTTTACAAAAGAAAATTGGCATAAAACAACATACATGATTGTAAACTTCACCTCGAGATATTCCTGATAACATTTCTATTACTTGTCATTTCCTTTTTTTGCGAACGATGTAGTAAAACTGTACACTTTCATCAAAATCTTTAGAAAAAGCCTCGTATATATAGTGGCAATCAATTTCTTTTAATAATTTACCGGTCAGCTCAATCTACTCCAATTCAACTTTCTGTTCTTTAGCTTAGATAACTTTTTTTCAAAACACCTTCAACGACTGTTGTCTAAGCATCCTATTTGGTTTGTGATTGTGATCTACATTAACTGAGCATTGGCTAGTAACCAATATCATTCTTCATAGTCCCTATTGCTAATCGAATTCCTGATATATCAAATTAAGGTAGTTATTGGTCTAAGTGAGTCGATTTTTCTGAGCAGCTTAATTTGATGTTATTTGGCTAGAGACAATAGGCCGGGAGATCTTTTTCTAAGTTCTCTGCTGTCTGAAACCATGCAGCAGCCCGTATTGTCGGTCTCTAGGAAATTGATACCACTCGTAAGATTTGAATGCAAGTTACCAGCTGTTACTGTAAATGATCTTCACACTGAACTGTTCAGCTAACATTACTTTTCTGTATGACAAATCAACATTTTATTTATTTTATAAATTATCTCACTGATTTAAAACTTTGCAAAATATCTCAAGAGAACTGAATCAGTTTCTGGCAATTTCCCAAGATTATTCCTGTTCTTCATAATACATTTAAATTATCGAAATGTCCACATTTCTACCAAGCAATAAATTGAGCTAAGTAATGTCGACAAATGTTTAGTGTTTTTCGGTAGTTCTTTAACTAATATAAATTTAATAATGATGTATGTATAATGTATGTATAGCTTCACTAACTTACAAATATTATTGCACATAGTTTTCATGTAGCTTACTTTACTATCTATTCATTTATATAGCATAATTTTTAACTTTAAACAATATTACATCTTATATTTGTTTGTTATTTTTATTTAACTTATTATCCATCTAGTATGGCAATGTTCAACAAAACTTACAACAAGAAACTCAAAAGAATCAAGATTTAGTAAAAACAATTGAAGTATGTCAGCAATATCGTTTTATTATTTCAAGATATAAATCCAATTATACAATGCAATGCAATTATTACTCATGGATTAATTTTGTATGTTTCTAAAGAAGCTTTCTGATACTGAAGTCTATCTAGATTTTTTGACAAAAATAAGTGTGACTACTGAGTAACAGCTTTGAATGAATTCTTAAATTGCCCCTTTTTTGTGACTATTATGATCTTTTGGTTAGAACTAACATCACTAATGAAATTACGTATTATCGTAATGTTTTGTAAATACGAGAATAAGTCCTATCTAGACTTTGATACTTGGCTACCATAACATTCTTTTCGTTCTAACCCCCAGGCACTTCAAAAATCAATCTTTCAAGGAAGATTTATTAGGGAAATCAAAGAAGATTTGTTTAAGCAAACAATCGGTGCGTTTAAACACGTTTCTAATGATGATTTTTGGCATAGGGTAAGAAATTAGTATGCTCGATAGCCCATAAAGCATTAATGAAGTGGGATCATTTTATTGTATTAAAAACGAAAAATGTTTTCTGTAGATAGATTGATTACACGCAGAAAAAATAGCAATTCAAGTATATTGAACAAAAATAACAACATAATCTATCAGCAAATAGTTTGTTGATATTGTAGCATCTTTAACATATGGAATATTGATATTTTAACAAGCGATTAAACCTAGGATTTATATTTAGCAAATTCTTGTTGATGGTAAACAGCTTCATATTTAGGTAACTAATATAATATGCCTTTTGAGATTCTCTGTGTTTGTTTAACCCTTCGTTCTATTTTCTTCTCTGTCACACACACTTGTATATATTTAGACTAAATTGCCTTATGGCATTATTTTTCTTAATATACACGTCTGAAATTGTTTCGTATAATTTCATTTTCAACTCAATTCAATCGTATTCTCTGTATAATAATTAAGAGTATATTATTACAGTTTCAGTCTAAATTGTTTTTATTTGATTTTATCAGTAAAATATAACTATTTCACTTTATTAATGGTATACATTTAGTATTTATTATACATTTTATCCAGTTATAAACAATCTAGTTAATGATAAACACACAGAGATGCCAACTATGATAATTTTTATTTATATATCCATTCGGCTAAGGTATATATATTATCTGGTTAACATTAAAAACGTGATCAAACATAATGTAATAACAATGTATGTAACGTAACATAGGTATTCTATTAAATGAATATTTAGTAATACATTCATCTGTTTATCGGTACCTAAGATCACCTGTTAAACCATTGTTTTTGGTTTCATTGTGGTCCTCAGTGTATCTGTGATTATTGCGCCATTCAGTTCAGGAGGAACACTTTTTCAGTTACAATTTACAAGTACTACCACTTTGGTTTATGTAACGATTCCTCGGTGATGTTCAGGGACGTTCTAATACGCGATTCTGTTTCAGAGGGAAAAAGACTCAGACATAACACTCTACTTGCAATAATTTGTTTGTTTTCTTATACAATCTAGGGTTCTCTAAATTAAATAAACTTATTTACTTATCCCTCGCGAAGGGAGCATAGGCCACCCACCATCACTCTCCATCGAAATCTTTCATGGTCAGTCCTTTCCAGATGATTCCGATTCCCGATACAATGTGTTCTTTAGTCTTTCTGTTGTCTTTTGACCTTCAGGATTTCAAGTTAGCTCTTGCCTCATGATACAGTTTGATGATTTCTACAACGTATGCCCTATCCACCTCCAACGTATTTTCTTGATTTTTTTTCAACGGGAAGCTAGTTTGTTCTATCCCACAGTAGGTTGTTACTGATGGTATCCGACAAGTGGGCATTGAGTATCTTGCATTGACAATTGTTTAGAAATACCCGTACTTTTTGATGATTGTTGTAGTAGTTCTCCCATTTTCAACTCCGTATATTAGAACTGTCTTGATGTTCGTATTGAAGATTCAGACTTTGATATTGGTTGACAGTTGTTTTGGGTGTTAGGTGTACTTCAATTGTAGGAATACAGCCCTCGGTTTACCAATCGTTATCTTCAAATCTGCATCAAATCCTCCCTGTTCATCGATGATACTGCTCAGGTATGTGGGGGATTTCACCTATTCCAGAGCCGAATAACACAGATCGAATTCTCGATTACTGTTGTAACAACCCAAAACCTCACAAAATCAACTGCATACAAACTTTTTTAAAGAGGATGAAAGCACACTGCAACACACTTGTAGCGTGGAAAATAGAAGAAAAATATCTAATGACTACCCTTCAAAAGGATGGCTGTCCACGCAACTTGATTAAAAAATGTCAACTCAACTCTTCAGCAGGAACTAAATCAAGTACAGAAACCAGCAAATGGATCATCCTACCATATACAAAGACAGAAAATTACAAGACTGTTGAAGCCGTTTAGAATAGGTGTAGCACACAAATCTTGGATAGACGAAAGACCAATGCACCAGAGGATTTTTAGAAGTTTTGCACTCAGATTAATCAGCAATCAACAAACGCATTGAAATCGATATGATCCATCAACCAATTAGAAAAATCATGGACAAATATTGGACGAAGAATCAAATCGAAGGAAGATACAATCAAAATAAAGAGGTGGACATGACTGGTGTAAGGTTGACAGGACAATTGGTGAGTCATATGTGGAGAAATTTGAACACTTCACTTCTGCCCGGAGTTTATGATGATGATGTCGTTCATAAGAACAATGAAAGCTCCACGACCAAATCATTCAACTTAGAGAACAGAACTCCATCCAAATCATCTAACTGAGCTACAAATCTTCAATATTTCAAGTGATGATGATAGGCTTCTCACGTACATCATAATGTCGAAGAAGGATCCATAACATTCTCCTATCCACATCGTCAAACGCTTTCTCATAGTCAAGAAAGTTGATGCATAGTGACAAGTTCCATTTGATTGATTGTTCAACGATAATTCAGATTGTTGCGACCATTCCTTGCGGGATACAGCTTGTTAATCTTGAAGTTGATCTTCTACTGATTCAGTCGATCAACACTGTCGAAAACCTTTCCTGGTACTGATGGTAGTGTGATACCTTTCTAGTACACATATTTTATCTGGTGTCTTGACTAGGTGTCGTTTTTTCCAGTCTGTCTGTGACATTCGTTCTTCCTCTTAAAACTTCTTGATTAGAATTTGGATCATCTTTGCACTTAAATTAACCTTATAAAGGCTCTCTACTGGAACACAACAGGTCAAGTGAGAGCTTATGACGAACTGTCATCAGAATTGATTACCTCAAGTGGTGTTCGTCAGGGATGTCCACTCTCTCCATTCTTGTTTAACTTTATCGTAGACGTGCTTTTAGAAATGATACTTTCCTCATTTGAATTTCCAGGGGTTGAACTTCTACCGGGAGATTCACTTGTTGATGAAGATGCTAACAAAATGAGGAGTATTCTGACCACTCTAAGCAACAATGCTGGCATGTTCGGGATGCGATTCTCCCCCTCGAAATGCAAAATGTTGCTTCAGGATTGGGTTACATCGACACCCGAACTAGTGATAGGGAGTGAAGTAGTTGAGTGTGTCGGCCGCTTCACTTATCTTGGGAGTCTCATCAGCCCTTGTGGTCTGGTGTGTGACGAAATCTCAGCACGGATACAGAAGGCTCGACTAGCTTTTGCCAACTTGCGTCATTTATGGCGTAGTCGAGATATTCATTAACCAACCAAAGAACGAGTTTACTGTGCAGCAGTTCGTTCCGTCCTAGTTTATGGCAGTGAAACATGGCCGGTAAGAGTAGAGGATATTCGTAGGTTACTAGTATTTGATCATAGGTGTTTTCGAAACATTGCTCGTATATCATGGGACCATCGAGTAAGTAATGCGGTTGTTAGGAAACGGGTACTAGGTAAGGATGGCAAATCAATTGATGAAGTAGTGAAACTTCATCAGTTGAGATGGCTGGGTCACGTGTTACGTATGCCCAACGACCGACTACCTCGACGTGCGATGTTTTATGGTGTAGAAGTAGGTTGGAAGAAAGCTAGAGGTGGCCAGAACAAAACATGGCACAAGTCCATGAAGTCACTGACAAGTGAACTGAGTCATGTTGGTAGGTGTAGACTACCTGGTTGGGATCCGCGAGACGATAGCAACCGACGGTTAGAGACCTTGGCTCAAAATCGTTTGGAATGGTGCAGGTGCATCCACTTTTTGTGTCCTCACAAATTCTCATCTTTTGAATTCTTCATCTCCCGTTTTTCCGCTTTCCGAATTTACTTCACTGGATTATACTCGTTGAATAATGTCTTCGAACACTAATGTTTCCGATTACTGCTTCTACTCTTACTACCTCTACCACTACGGGATTTGAATCGACAACTTCATCTCTGTGCTAATGTGGGATGGCAACTCGAACTGGTGTACGTACGTACGAAGTTCCACGTTGTTACTGACTGACTGACTACATCTATGTCTGACTGTAGTACTTCGGCTGGTATTTTGTCAGATCCTACTGCTTTCCCACTGTTGATTTGTCTGATGGCCGTCCTGATTTCTTCGATCGTTGTTTGAGTGATAGCTATGGAAAGGTGTGTGTTGTTTGGATGTCTGATGGGTTGAGTGGGACTGGTGTGTTCAAAAGTTCTTCAGAGTGTTAAACCCATCTGTTCCTTTGTTCTTGAATCTCCGTGATTTGCTTGCATTCTTTCTGCTTGACTGGTCGATCTGGTTTACTATATATCACTGCTAGTTTCTTCGTTGTGTCATATTGTCGTGTGATATTTCATTTTGATTCAGTCTTTTCAGCTGTGGTTGGTAGGTGTTCCATGTATTTTTTCTTGTCTGTTGTAACGCTCCTCTCCACGTACTTGTTCGTTTCTGTGTATTCGACGTGTGCTATCGCTTTTTCTGTTGTTGTTCGACTGTTGTTAATTGTTTCCTTCCTGATTCCCTGTATTGTGATCGAGTGATACACAAGTAACCTTGTGTATGTGCTTGTGTGGGAATGTGGTGTCACCTACAACCATTTTGTTTGGGGCACATCCATTTGAAAATTTGTCACCACTCTCGTTTCTTTCTCCCAGTCAATTGATGTAACTCCACGATATCTTTATGCTCGTTGTTGTCCATTCCGACTTTGGTGTTTAGATCTCTCGTCAGAGTTGTGAGTTCATTTCCTGAGCATTTCGGTATTATCGATTTCCGAATTTCATAAGACTGATCTTTATCGTCTTCATTGATATCATTGGTAGGTGCATAACACTGAACAACATTTATTGTAATCCTCTGCTTCGTTTTGCTGAATGATTTGGTGATGTCTATCCTGTGAGTGGTTTTCGTGGTTCATTGAACGCTTTCAGTGCATCTCCGTGGGTGTGTGGAAGATTTTCTCATTCATAAACCGAATACGACAGCATCTTTTCTGAACTCTAACCTTTTCTGTCCATCTTTGATATAATGGGTCCCAATTATTCCGAACACAGCCAAGTTCAATCTCCTCATTTCTGCAGCTATTTAACTTGTCTTTTCAATCTCCAACATTGTCCGGACATTTCATATACCTATATTAATTGTTGCTCCAATCATCAGAAGGAGAATCGGCCTCGTAATTTGCTGAGAATCTTGACTTTCACTATAATGTATTATAACTCTTATGGATGAATATCCTTCAAATTGTGGGTCAGAGTTTAAATGATAAAATTATTTATTGTGGTTGCACTTTTTAATAAGTTTGGTTTCTGCCGGGTGGTATTTTTGATTTCATTCTGAATCCTCTGGTCTTGGGATCACCAGTCACCCTGGTAGGGCTACAGGCGAAGTTAAAATAAATTTAATTAATTGATTCTTGCTTTTCTACTCTAGGATCTCCGTCACCACCAAATGTCCTCATCACTAGGTGAAGTTGAATCGCTTGTTTCTGGAAATCGAACTGAAGAATCGGTCGATCAATGTTTAAAACTACAGTATCAATTGAATGCCTATGAATCAAAATCGGAATCTGTAAATACTGAGAAAGATCAACTTACTGTAGAGGTTTGTGCCGTTTTCAGTTTTAGAAATCAATTATGAAGTGAATTACTTATTTGTTTATTATGAAACTTATTTATTTTACTATTGGTTACAATATAGTATTTACTAAATTGATTATTCGTAGTTCATGTTAATAGTTGTGCTTGCAGTGTCATTTTAGCGAAATAACCATCTCTCGGTTAGAAATAGAAAGATAGATGACAGTCCTAATGTATGTCATTCATTTACATCCTGAGGTCATTGTTTACTATATATTCACAAAATCTCGCTAAAATTTAGTTCGAAATGAATCGATTAATGAATGAATAAAACTTATTTGATATTTGACTTTATTGTTAATGACTGTGTTTATGCTATAAATGGGCAAAGAAGTATTTATAAATATGTATAAAAGTTAATTTGGTACATAGAATGACAACTGTGGTTTTTTAAATAAATGTTCCATTAGTTGGCCACTAATTCACTTTGATTATTTTGATCATTTGTGTGATCCTATGACGTAAGCTGTGACGCTTTATCTCCTTAATGAAACTATCTCTAGACTCAAATGCTCTGTGACTTGAGAAGAGTAATCTGTCGTCACTAAAGGTACTAGGATCAGAGATAAAATGAATGTTTTTCGACACCGTTTTTAAAAATTAGTGGTCAAAATAATTCTTCAATAAACATGACTAATCACAATTCAATTTGAAATAGATTGTATAATCCCATTGTATATATTTTTGATTGAAATTCGATCAGTATTAGTTGGCATATGTGCATCCCATGTGGATTGCCTTAGTATGGTCATTATGACACAAATTAGTATTGGACAGATGAAATATTACTAGCAGTGAAATCTAGCACACACATTTCGCTCTATATATAATACGTCAGCCGGATGTTTTGATTAAATTTCAATCGAAAATATTTACAATGGGATATTTCAATCTTCAAACTAGAAAGTTTACAAATCTAGGGAAAACAATAAGATAAAAAGTCTATCCGACTATACCAGAACGACCATCGATCGAACTGTTGAATTAAAAACCAGGGAAACTTGAATTTTCTGTCTACAACTTGAGAGAAAATAGTGGAGATTGTCTATGGTCAGTAACTCTATGCATCACAGCTGACTGTATCAGAATACCCAATACGTGACTTTGCGTATATTCAGCGTTATTTCGTAATTCTATCAAACGTTTTATATGATTATTTATAACTCAATGACGTTAGTAGCCTATTAACTCAATCTCTTTTGGAATTTTGATCAAACGTCTTTAGTATAAACTTAAGGGTACAAAATGCACCGCTACGTTACTTACATCTGCTCTGGAAATCATGAAGCTACAATTACGTAACTAACAAGCAAATGGATAGAGGTCAAAAACCTTAGAGATGGAAATATTTATATCTAAATGTTTTATTGAAATTCTTTTTATCTAAAGAATCTGACTTTTTTTTCTTACGATTAACCAGAGAATTGGTTTCATTCACGTTTATGATTATTATGGATATGTATCTGAAGTCAAGATAAAATACATACTATAAAAACAACTCAGTATCTTAATCACAGCCTCATCCCATCTAATTGTTTATGCCTTTACTTATTCCTTGTTAATGAAGTCAAGCAACCTTAATATTAATAAAATTTTATCAATTATTGACCTGAATCGTCCGTTCAGTTATAACGTGTTTAATTACAGCACTGGGAAATTCTCAAAGACATTTGTTTCAGTCAACGAACTATTGATTTAAATCTTGTATCTTGTGAATTAAACAACTAACAGGAGATTGTTTCACATGTTAGTGTTATGGTACATATAGTCTGAACTGACTTTTTTTCTTTCATTAATTCAGCTAGATATCATGAAGTACTTATTAAATTACCATCTAATATCTATCTGTAGCTCTGGTATTAGTTATGTATCATTGTTTTTTATATGTATTTTTGGCTAGTATACATAAACCATTTTATCCATTAAGATTATCAGTTTCTAAATTGTAATTTATTCATATTGTGCTTACATCCATACATCTACATTTATCTGTTACACATAATGCTTATTAAATAATTTTTTTTCCTATTTACAAACAATTCTTTGTGTTTCTCATTGTCGCCTTATAAACGCATTGAAGTCATTTCATAGTTCTGTTAAACTACTAATTTCTATTAGTTTGTGTCATTGAGTTTCTCTTGTATGAAAACTGTAGCTTCCTTTAAAATTAGATTAATGTACAATCTTAAGATAATTAGTCTAGTGTTTTACCTGTATGTACACACTCTCTAAGTAATATCAAATATCCGAATTTTAATTTTACTTAAATTTCATTGTGAATTGATTTATTAGTATATTATAAAGTCAATCAAGCAACTGACCATCATCATCTTCAAGTTTCTTTTCTGTGACCAATTCTTCCCAGATTAACCTAAATCTCAGCAGAATAAGGGACAGTGTTTAACAAACTAACTTCAAATACATACTGATTTAACAAGGTAATATACTCATTTTTGAAAAGAACTAGTCATAAATACAGATGATAATCTAGTAGTTCAGTGCATGTGTGAAGTAGAATTTTTAGTGTTCCAGTGTATACTGTTTATTTATGGCATAAGTAGCGCGATAATTTATTTTTAATTTTTTTCACCAATTTGACTTCGAATCAAGGAAATAACCAATATAGAGGAATTTCACCTTTACTTCTTCAGTACACAATAGTTTGCCTTTAAATCTTGACGTGGTCTGAATGCCATTCGCTTTTTGTAAAAATTGTGTTGTGACAATCAAAGTATGAATTACATATTTCCATGACTATTCTTTCTAACGACTAGTTTTTAAAATGATTCTATGTTGCTTATATATGTATGCTTGATTATAGACGATATGTCTATATAGTGAATTGTTAGGTGATATTTGATAGATTTCAAACATTTTTAGTTACATTTGTGAGTGGAATCTATTTTAAAGACATCTCTATATAGTCAAACCAAAACATAACATTCCTCAATTTATTGTTATTTTAGTCTGAGATGTTCTGGAAACTAGTAAATCTTCTGTCTGAAAAGCATAAAATGATATAAGCGAATAACTGGCAAACTAGTATGTTGTATTTTGTGTTAATTAACATGATTCATATAATATAATCACTTCATTTTATGTTGTCAAGATCTGATTTACCATCATTTTTGCTTCTGTTTCCTTACATTATTCCTTGCATTTAGTCTTATATTTTCGATTATTTGAAAAAGGAATCTTTTCGACTTTCGACCACATAATTCTATGAATACTATTGTTTAAATATACATTATACAATTGTCCATAAGCTAATCATTACACAAAATTGTAGTTTTTGTGTTAATTAAATTTGGCTGTATGAAAACGACTTATTTTATTTGTGCTTCAAAGGGAAGTGTTACTTGTTCGAACTTGAAGGCAGTTCATGTTCAATATCAAAGATACAATTGGTATCACTAAAATTATATATGAATTTATACTGGGGAGAAGTCATTTATAACTATTCTCATATCTCTTTATCATTTTTTTCTTCTCTATCATTCTGACTAATATACAAATGATGCACAATAAATGTCATATGATTCTTATTCCTAGTGTGTATATAGTTACTATTGGAAATATATAGAATAATTATGATTATCATATTTGTTTAATCAATTAAACCTTACTGTAGAAAAAAAGGAACTCTTACAAACATAGTAAACTTAAAAATAATCTAATTGAATGATAATTTACTGAAATAAGCAATATGATGATAATGATGCTACACAAAAAGTAAAACATTCAGTAGTTTTGTGGTGTGTGCTACTTATATTGACATAAGTAGTATATGATGTTAGTCGTGAACAGAATGTCTGGCAGCAGAGAGACAAGAGGATCAAACAGTAAAGAATGGAACAGGATGCAATTTGTATAAAAATGCACGAACACTGAAGTCTGAGTCACTATGAGACAATTGGTGGACATTTTGCAACTTAAGCATTTACTTTATGATTGTTAGATTGTATTAAAAAGTCCTGTAATTTTGTGTTAAATACATTTGATTGTCTCCACTGGTGGAAAATTGGAATCTTGTTACTAGTTAGACTTTTTCAATCTGTAAAATGTAGATCTATTGATTACTATTTCTATCATTTTTATTTCTATATGTCTAATTCTCTTATTATCCTTGTAATTTTATCTGTTTGTTTTGTTCAATCAAACATTACGTAATAGAATTTAAAATTGATGCCAAACTTATTTTATCTTTACTCTTAAGTGCATATCTTTCTTTTTATTTTTCCTAATATATATTAACTTCACAGGTTGAAATCATGAGTCAGTTGAAGCTAGACCACCATTGAAAACCTGGAAATGTGTTTATTCCTTTTGATCATTCAATTAAAATGATGACTGTAGCAACTGATGCGAATTTACGTCAAAAGTGTATTCTTTGTTTAAATATTTTATAGTCAAATCTTTTGTTAACTTCACTCATAATTATCTTGTAAATACTAATTTGACTTATGTTTAAGAGATTTTTACAAGAAAGTAAGAGATAACCGATAAACAAACGTTGAAGTGATCGAATCAGTATGAGATATCAACGTATGAAGTCATTAAATATAGGTTAATGAAGACCTCTTGGTTGTGAATAGCATAGTTAATATTTGGATATCATAATTGAAAGGACTCGAGATTGATTGTAATGTCTGAGTTGCTTTCATTATCCTTGTTTTAAATACCGAGCTTCAATATTATTTCATATCTTTCAGTTGATTATCTAATTACCTCTTCTTATATCTTACTTTCGATGATTAGTTTTTTTTTCACAACCATAGAAGCTGGTATTACTTTGATTCACTCACTAATAAAATGTTTAATTTCCTCACACCGTGATGACTTGATCTATTTTTTCTATTATTAGAAGCTTTATTCAACATTATATTTTTGGTACAACATAGAATTCTCAGCATAAAGTATTTCAACAAGTTTCCTTTTCTTATACCTTGATCGATTGTGACGATAAATTTTGAATGATGACCAGTTAGATGTTAGAAGTTCGGTAATCCACATTTGATTACTGTTCATTTGTTTCAATGCATATTGCCAGCAACCATGATGTCTCTGATTGTACCTTTTTGTATCCCGTATAGCGAAAGGCTGTAAACTTTTCATAAACGCGCCTGAATAGGTTGTGCGCACAATAGACATAGTGATGTGCTAAAACAAACAACAAAACAGATAACTTGATGAAATATCTAGATCGGTGGAACAGGTAGCCCAGATATTCAAGCAGGCCGCTGGTGACCTTAGGAGGTGAACGTTTTTACCAAGCCGTAATTTATTTTTACTAATTAACGAAAAATTAAGCAGAATGATTTTCGTGGTTATTTAGTTAATAGTTAGTGCATTTAGAATACCATTTTGCGCGTTATAGCAACGAAAGTCTACTATTCCATCATTTCATTGATGAAACGTAACTAAAATAATCTGATTAATTGATTGTTAATTTCAGCTTTCAGAAAGTCAACAATTATTAAAGGATTCTGAAATGAAAATTTCCAAATTAACTAATGAATTGCAAGTTTTAAATGATCAACTTAACCAGGAGAAGTTATTTGCAGTCAGGGGAAATGATACATGCAACGGAAATACTTTCACACATATTGTTGGTGATGATAAAGATTGTAAGAATGGCGAATTAACAATGCATTTAGATAAATTTAAACAAACGCTTTTAACAAATACCGTTGAGCAGGTATTATCTGTATTACAAAGTAATCAAACTATTGGACAATCACCTGAATTTATAGAAGTGTACATACATTGTTCTCCAAGTGAGTTTTATCTTATCTTTTATTTCTCCTCTATATTCATACAATCTCGTGAATTCGATCTGTAGTCTGATTCTTTAACATTTTGCAGAAATTTTATGTCAGAAAATCTTAGTTTTTATAATGTTGATAGGTCGAATTCGTTGTTGCATATTAACAAGATCAACTATACATGATTCCAATCAATGTATGGAGAGTGTATGGTTTACTCGGAGAATTATTCACTATGTTCTTGATCCAAAATTTTTATTTATAAAGAAGGACGATAGCGTCAGATGAGGCATTAATGTATTGCACAATAAATAAACGAGTTTTATATTGTCTTATTTTTTCGAGATCCTAAAAACTGTGTGAACCACTGATTTGAAAGTAAGGTTTTCCTCTCCTTTACATTGAGACTTCTCACTCACCTATTCGACTTAATAATTGTACATCACATCTCGAGATTTTCGGAAACCCTATCGCTACATGATTATACGAAGACATTTTCCACCCTCTATTGTATAAGGCTTTGGAGGTTAAATTTCACTAAACCTTCAAATAACATATTTTTAAAGATATTGAATTATACCTCTATGTTTCTATCAATCTTGAACAGTTAATATCACTGTATTTATTTTTGTTATTTATTAATGCCTATGTTTTCATTTCATCGCTAATGTTTATAATTACTTTGATTTTTTGTTATATTTCCAAATTACTATTTTGTCAGTAAATTCAAATGTGTTTCGTTATTTGATGTATTTGCTTTCAAATTCAATAGTTTCTAAATATCTAATCCTTTTAAAAAGTATATAAATTACTACTGTCAAAATATCTTTACAATAGGATAGTAAATTTGTTCAACGAGTTGAAATCAAAATATCATGCGCTACCTAATATTCATTTTGTTTTGTTTTGTTTATTTTTATTTTAGCGTACTTTTTAAATCATTTATCACAAGTTACTAACTATTTTAATTTATTTGAATCTGCATTAACTGACTACTTGTCTGATAATGAAAAAGGTAATAATTATAAAATCATTTGTTTTTATTTTTCAAAATTTAATTATTTATTCATTAACTCTTTAAATATTCGAATTTGTTTGATGGATCACAACTGAAAAATATTAAATGTTAATTTTGGATACGTATATAATTATAGCAACCTGTTTTTTTTGAATTGAATGAAATTTCTCCCCTTATGTTAAACCTGTCTTTAGATCATAGTATTATTTAAAAAAAGATGAATCTTTGTGTTTTATTTCATTAGTGTTTCTTCACTTCACGAATATTCTAGAATAAACAACAACAAAGATGGAAGAAATATTAAAATGTTAATTAGAAAATGGAAAAAATATTTGATGAATAAGTGGTGTAGTGACTTAGTGTTTTCGGAGTTCATCCCCTAATCATTAATTCTCGTGAACTAACCCCACTCCATCTACTCCGGTTAATGTACTTTTTTAGTATCAAATGTCCTTATAATTATTGTGGCTTGAAGCTTGGTACAGAAATATGTTCTTTGTAAATAAGTTGAATCAATTAATTAATCTGTGTCTCAGTCGTAAGTATAACATTGGCTTATTTATTAAGTTTTAAACAAATTTAAAAAGTTGGTTACATGAAGTTTGTTAATAAAAGAATTTGGATATCGTAAGTGCAAGTAACTGATGAAATTAGACTCAAAAGATTCACCTATTTCTATATTTACATATTTTAGATGTACGTTTCACTCAAGCGTAATTGATAGACTTTCATAATTTCATCACGTAGTATGAACCATTTAATGTTTATCATTTATTTGAAGTATATACAACGAAATCTTTTAAGATTTATGATTTCGGCAATTTACTTTTATTTATCATCTCTCGAAACAAATTCGATATTAGCTAGCGATCTAGTTAGACAAAAAACCTGGACCCACCACTCTCTAAAGTTATAGCCTCACAATCACTTCACATCAAATGAAATACCCTGTGATACTAAATTACTTAAACTGATGATGGTCACGTTACAACTTGATTAATTAAATTTCACCAGACACTAAATAATTACTTATATAACATTGGTTACTATTCATTGGCATACTTTGCTGATAAGTAAAAATTAGCATGGAACATATGTTTGGAGTTTCCTGATAACTGTGTACCATGAAATAAAACGTGCAACTATATCGAGTCATTTCATTTAGTTGTTACATTGAGAATTGATCAATATTGTTTGACCATCATTACGTTCTAAACAAACGTGACATTAGTTAGTGTTTAGTCAGTAATAAATGTAAAACATATCGCCTAAACTAGATTTGGGGATACCACGTATTACTCTTTACTTCATGATTGTTTTAAGTTTGTATTACAGTGTACTAGAAGTATAATAAAACAATTTTTAATTTACTATTCATTGTATATAAATTTGTATATTTTAACAGGATTGATTCAAACTTCATATTATATTGGTCAGCTAAACTCTCAGTTATCATTACTATCTCTCTTATCTAAATCGATACGTCAATCAAATGGTACAAGTGATTCTTCATACAGTAAGTGATTGTATTGATATTATTCCTGGTACTTTATCTCATCTAATATTGTTTGTGTCTAACTTAGTGTGTTTTTAGATTCTGAAAAGTGTGGATTGATTAAATTCTCCTTGCAAACACATAAGTATACACCTCAATTGGATCTCTCCACGTCTTTGAAAATTAAGTATATTTTAGTCGTTCAAAAAAGTCATCTGGGTTTCCTTTTTTCTGTTTTCCAAGAAATTTATGTGATTTATTATACATTCTATAATATTAGTAATGAATGGCGGTCTGCTTGAATAGCTGAACTTTCTGTTCCTGCCATGTAGATATTTCAACATGTTATCTGTTTTTGGTTGTTTTAACACATAATTATGTCTGTTAATCGTATGGCCTATTCAGGTACGTTAATGAAAAGCTAACAGCGTTTCGCTGTACGATTTACAAAAAGTACAATCAGAGACGTTGTGGTGGCTGGCAGTATTCATTGAAAAGAATGAACATTATTCAGATGTTGATTTCTGAACTGCTCCCATCTAACTGGTGATCACTAATTGACACGATGGACTGTCTTCAATTCCTACGAAGCCTAAACATGTATCGTAACTGTGGTGTAATTACAATTCCAGACTCCTGGTTAAATGATTTACCAGATGCCTACTCAGCATCACTACAAGATTTCCATATTTGTTGTCAGAATCGACCAAGAACTCTATAGGTTATACTACATACCGAAAATTGAATAACTCTGATACTGCTGTTTTATAACAAAATATCTAGTAGTGAAATATGAATAATATGTAAAGTTATGTTGAGGTTTGTATTGATATTCTTTTGACAATAAATTAAATAGTTTCATTAAACCATGAAATGAAAGTGGCATAATTTTAATATTCTGTAAACTTTTAATAAAGATTATCACAGTCCTATTCAAGTATCAATAGTTATCACCAGGATAACTCATTAAAAAAAGTCTTTTGAAATAATTTGGTTTATAATGGTTTAGATAATTTCTTTGTTAATATTTTGACAGAATTTTGATGGGTTTCAGTTGGCAAATGTACATTCTGTGTATATTGCCTTGATATAGCTATTATAACACAAGCTTATATAAAATAGATAGCATGTGATTAGCAGTGGAATCCAATTCAATACACGTGTTTCTTCTCATGAAATAGACTTATAAAGCTAATTTTATACTAGTACAGTTATAATCATAATTTATAACAATTCAGTTAATAATGAACTGTTGGACTATTGGCGAGACTATAATTTATGGACGAGCCAATCAGAAGCCTTTGAGGGATTCCGAGGTCATGGCGCCAACTCCAGTACTTAATGCTAACGTACGATCGGTTCATAGGGGATTTTATACAAACCGTAATAATTGAGCGGCTATAACAAATAAACCGGCGAGATTATGATTTGTGGACGAACCAATCAGGTATAAGATAACAGATCTCGGATTTTGGCTGCGAGTCTTTCATCCATTTAGCTAAATAGAATTTTGGCACTATACCTGATGTCAGTTCGTAATGGAAACCCTATATATAATTCCTAACTAAGGCAAATTATGACAATTATTGCGAACTTGATAATAAAAGCACGATTAACACTGGCTGCGGCCAGATACTACAAAATATACGGATGACTGGAGAGCGTACAGACTCCTACATAGGCTTGGTTAGGTGCATCGTGTCGTCATTCACAAATGGCATTTTGTGTGCTCAACAACCGGAGTGCACACAAACAATATTAAAGCTATGTGGTCGAGGCTGAAAGAGTTTTTGGGACCCCATCGTGGCTCCAGAGGCCAACTATTCTGTAGCCATGTGGATGATTTCCTCTACTGCATCGATTACGGTTTTAGAACCCCTGAACTTCTTTCTAACCTTGACAAGTTTTTGAACCATGTACAAGAGGTGTATCCACTTTATTTCCTTGGTTTTGTATAAAATATTTTTACTCTGTACTGACTGTTTGCTGATTGGCTAATATTTCTCAAGGTAGCTTAAGATTCGTTCAAAGGTCGTTCATAAATTATAGTCTCGCGGATGTATTGGTTTATCGAACTTATTTTACTAATGTATGGGAGCACTTTGACCGTTAGGCTACTCGATTTTAAACCATGGAGTATTTGATTCAAATTCCACTCCATCTGTTTCCTTAATTCATTTGAGTAGGATGCCAATATGAAACTGGTCAATTGCAGTCCTAAGTAGCAATAGGAAAATATAAGTAAAACAACACTAGGTGAATTTAAATAGAGCAAGAACAAACATTGATGCAGAATAGTATGAATTCATATTATTTCGAGGTTTCTCGTCAGCTGCTTACAAACCAAAATTATGATAGAATTTTTACATGGAGATAGTGTGAAACAATTGACATAAATGAGTGTAAATAACTTGATTACAATAACAACTATATATATATGCTAGAAACTGGTCAGAGGTCAAAAGAGGGGGTTTAATCCAGGGTGGGTGGTGTAATAATTTAGTGAAGTTCATAAATTGTGTGATAATTGTAGACATGGATGGAATTAAATAATGATAAGGTAGATTACGTAATAATAATTAAATAGGGTTTGGAAAGTTAAGATGATTTAAGAGGATCAGGTGGTGGAAATGTGTGAATAAAATTTATTTTAAGAATTAGGTAATAGGGGGGGGTATAAAATAAATGAATAAAATAACCAAAACACAAAACAAACAGAAACAAAAAGATTACCAGGGTAGTGATAAGTTTATTTAAGTCTCTTTTTGGATGCATAAGTCCGGTTTCAGTTTCTTAATTGCAATGGCTTCAGCAAAGCGGAGAGCGGTATTAGTTCTTTGTCTATTAATAATTTTAAACGCGCGCATAGTATCGACGGTATGCCTGGTGTCAAATAGATGCCGAGCTATTGCACTGTTAAAAGCTTTAGTCCATCGCAGCGTCAAGTTCTTCGGAATATGCTCAGAAATGCGAACCTGTACCCTTCTCTCAGTTCTTCCAATGTATGTGCTACGACACGTACATGTTAATTGGTAAATGCAGTTGGAGCAACTGAGGGGAGAGGACTTGTCGATTTTCGTTTGTTTCAGTGAGCAGTATGTTTTCCATAACGTAGTCAGTTTGGCTACCGGGTAGGTCACTTTTAAAGCGGAATTAATTCTGTGATTGATAATTACGGCGACTTCATCTCCTTTGAAGCGCAAGGATAGGAAGCAGGTTTTCTTTTCAACTGTATCATGCTTAATCGGAGGGTTTGTATTAGCATATTTGTGGATGAATTTATCCGGATATGCATTTTCACGTAGGCATTTGGTGATTGTAGTAATTTCTTCTTCGAGGCATTCTTTTGAGCAGATTTTTCGTGCGCGGTCATACATTAAATACTTCATTTGAAAATTTTCCATGAGTTGTCCTTTACATTCTCCCTCATTCTTCCAATTCTCTTTTTTTATGTTTCCCTTTCTCTTTTCTTCAGTTTATTCTCCTCAACTTTTTGCTCCCAGGCATTCCATTTCTGATTTGTGTTGCGTACTACTTATAATGCATAGTTGTGGCTCTAAATATATGGTTTTCCATTATTTGTTTAGCATAAGATCTATCTTAGAACTGTCATTTGTTATTTTTTGATAACTAGCTATTTTATTTTATTAACGATGATAAATAGTAGTGTATTTCAAACAAAATTATTGAAATTAGATATCCCAAGTAGTTTGTCGTTAACATCTTTGGTCCCAACACTGGCTGACACGTATTCGCTACTGTAGAGAAACACATCAGCATTACACAAGCCTGATAAGTTCATTGACAGCTGACTAGTGAGTTATTCACATTTCCTTTTTTTCATACTAACATTATGAAAGCGGTTGAACTTCTCTAAAGTTTCGGAATATATATAGAAACTTGTCCATTTATTTTTGCTTCATAAAACTCTGTTATGGATATCTGGAGACGATTAAATGGTACTGACAATAATAATTATGCAACAGTGTATTAATCGACGCTACATATAAGTTTGTGCCATACAATTTGTTTTCTTGATAATCTAGTTTCGAGTTTTTTTGTTTAAGTGAAAGTTTGTCATAATTTATTCTTATTTTCAAAAATTTTTTACATTATAGACTGTTTACATAATTTAGACTTAATTCAAAGTGAATTTACGGAATTACTTAATGTTCTGCTACAAATCAACAGTATTAATCAGGATCATATAAATTATAACAACGATAAACACAATTATTTCAATCAAATCAAAGAGCATTTATCTAAGATTCATAATCAGTTAAAATCTATGTCTATTGAAGTAACAAATTTATCGAACTCTCTGTCGAATGATTACAATAATGATGACATTATGTCGTCGACTGATGTGATACAGAAAGAAATGGAAACCACTTTTCAGGCTATCACAGCTGCAGAACAGAAATTCCAGGTAATCATCTCTTTTTCATCAATTTATGAACTGGGGCTAGCAGTGAGATTCAGGTTGCTTGTTCCATCTTGTTCGGGATTCTTCAACTAAGTATGTTCGGATCCCGATGTTGATGTTCATACTGATATTCAAACCCAGCAACTCGCTTTTAAAGGCTACACTTTATCAAAAAATATACATTTCGTTTTTTTACTAATTAAAATGCTGAATTCAATCATCATTTAGTCACATACCTCGTTTATTTCCATACTTATTGACGCTCATCAATCAGACATTTCTTTAATACTGAAGATACTCGTTGTTTATTGTTTGAGATTATTATCGAAACTGTTCATTAAAATGAGAATTTATACTTCGACTTAATATGAATATAACTTCACGAAAGAAGTAATTTCTCTAACTAACATAAATAATGTATTGATGTTGAACAATGTCACGTAGAGACTCTAGCTACTAATTTCTGACATCCCAATCAATTTGTCATTAGTCCAGTTTAACCATCCTTGATTTCGTTTACCTTGTATGTATATCGTGGAACTTATTACCATTAGTTATTAAAATTAGTTGGGATTTTTCAGAACTTCAACTTTATATGTTAACATATTCTTTTATTTTAGGGATTAATTGAGGAATCTAAAAAAAATTCAATCAACAATGAAAATCTTCAAGTGAATTCACTTATATTAGATTGTTGTTCTGAATTGTTACTTTGTGTTGGTGATCTAGTGAAACAATCTAAACTGATTCAACAAGAGTTTGAAGTATGTATATCTGTGTATACTTTTATCGATTTGGTTACTTTTACACTTTTGTTTTATATATGATAATTATTATATTTTGATGTAAATCATTTAGCTTACAGATTCTTGTCTTCTTAAATACTTGTGTTTATTAGTTGTTGGTTGATAAGTTGACATATTTTAAGTTGATTTGAAACACTGAGGTGTATTGTATTATCCTAATATTATGGTTTTCACCTTATAGGTAATTCGGAAAACACTGAAAAAATGGTATGTTTAAAAATTCCTCAGTTAGATGATTTTAGAGAAGAAAACACAAAAGAAATCATAATATGTTGTAGTGTTAGTTTGACTGGAAAGTTGTCATTATCATTCTCTAGTCATCATCTACGCCTGTTGTGATATGAAGTAGCTTAGAGGATACAATACCACTAAAACATCTACCAGAGCTGCAAATCTCTACTGTTTCTTATACCATTAATTCATTTGAATAGTTAAATTTTGAGTCACTAGCGATTGAGGTGTTTGGAAATTAACTTTTTAAAGACTTGACGGCGTAAGTTTTAGAGCTTACTAGTAATAGTTATCGTAGGTATTGGATAAATATATACCGGTTCGAGTTACAATTGGGACAGTACGAGAGAAAATTAACTAGATGTAAGACGACAACACTAACCAAATAATAGGTAAAAACAAGTGTCTAACAATGGTGATCAGTATCCGTCTTATTTTACTGCAGATCAAGTAAAATTGTAATTTCAGGCTATTAAAATCTGGTCCAATAGTTGAATGATTATATATTTCTAGGAGAAATAAGCGACGTGTCATGAGTCTTGTGAAGTGTGTTTGTATAAAGAAGTTTAGCGTTATGATAAACTTGGGAGCCTGTTACATCTGAACGAAGAATAAATGAATGGTAACTGCTAGGGATTATTTATTGAATGTTATTACATATATTCTTATCGGATAGCTATTAAGTAACTACATTATATGTATATTCATATTCCTTTTATCAATAACTTTCATCTGATCTATTGGTTACTGTTATACGATTTACGATTCTTAATTTATTCCCAATTTATTAGTTAATATCTCCCATACTTAGGACCAGTAGTCATAACACAGCCGTCATGTTTTGACTTATAATGGTTCTTAGATGGTGGTTGGAGGTAGTCAACAGGAAACCCTGGACCCGGGTTTCGTGCTACTTGGCACTCGTCAGCAAGGTGTACCTGTACTCTTGAGGGGACTGGTGCTCCCTGGCGGATTCGATCTCGTGTCACCCAGCTTCACAGTCAGAGACGTTACCACTGAGCTATCCGAGCACCAGTTCCCTCAAGAGTACAGGTACACCTTGCTGACGAGTGCCAAGTAGCACGAAACCCGGGTCCAGGGTTTCCTGTTGACTACCTCCAACCACCATCCAATCTCAATACATAGTACCCGCAATGTCGAGACACCTAGACTGGTGGCCACATTGCAATATGATCGATAGCATTCGATCTGCACTAATAAGAACTAGACAAGCATGACATTGATCACCACCCAGTGATCAATCAATTGTGATTATAATGGTTCTTCACCTGATGTCAATCTACGTTAAAATTATTTTGTCGCTAAACAGTTTAGAACTTTACTCTTCACACATATAACCTTCATTCTCATTTAAAGCGATATGTGTTATCGTTTAACCCGGCAAAACTTAGTGTTGTGTATGTGCCTAATTTTTCTGTACATAACTAAATTCTAAGAACTTTTCCAAGGTAAACGTTTTAATCACCATTTTGAACAGCTTAAACCATGCGCGTCAAATTAGATCTCTTATCCTGTAGCCCGTTTTCAAGAATATCTCAAGAGATTTTAAAAAATATTTGGCATTTCACATTGGATCAGCGTTAGTTTGAGCCACAGCTAACTTTCCATGTTTTCCTTGTCTCCTCAGCTGTTCGAGTTAGACATTTATTAGTAATAGCTAGAACATATGTTGTCGGCCTTTTTTTATTGTTTTAGGATTTCGAGTTTTTGTCACGCGTAACACATCTTGAGATATATTTGTGGGGTAATAGTAGTTTATTAAACTGTTTTATAACATTCCACAATAAAGGAAGACCAGGCTTTTAAGGATAAACGACGCCGCTGAATTACAGCTAAACATAAGTCAATGTAAGAGCCATCAACCGTTAAAATGACTTTGTAAATGTATCATATGTTTTTTTTAATTTATTGCTGTTATCTAAGTTAATCGAATTGTCGTGCGTAGGTATATTTAAATTAATTTAATATCTTATTATACATCTATTCTACAGTTGAAGCAGATTCGTATAACGAATAATACAAAGAACTCGTATTTGCTCTTTTTAACGTAGTTTTTATTCTCTGCCTATTATATGAATTATTCTTTCCTAGAATTCGCCAACGTCCGTTGAGTTTTATAAACCTTATAATCGTTGGACCAAGGGTCTTTTATCGGCTGCTAAATTTGTCGGTGCTAGTGCTAATGTCATGGTGTAAGTTGCCCTGTTATACTGTATACTTCTAGTTTTCCTACTCAATCAAACTAAGCGAAACCTCGTTATTTATGCCTCTAATCTATGTTCACTTTTATTATCTAATTAGATTGTGCAAACGAATTTTGCTAATTAATTAACATCTTTTAAATAGATCCGAAATCTGTTTATCCGGTAAGAAATGTGTTATAATCAAGACATTTGAGATAGATCTAGGTAGCCTCTAGTTTTCTGACAACAGCCTTTTGGCAACTTAAAGTAGCTACTGAAATTATTGTTCATTTCCAATTAGATTAATTAAATTGCGGAATCATAACTTTTCAATATAGGATTTGACAATAAACCGTTTCAAAGTCCGTCATAAATTAGCAGTGTATTATACCTTATATTGAAAGCGTAGTGAATAATCTTCCTCTGTAACCAGTAACATGTTATTTTCAGTTTAAGTGAAAATTATAAGTAATCAAAATTAACGTTAATATAAGGGAACTTCGTGAAGCTAAAAACTTGATATTTCGAAAAAAGAAAGATTTCTGTATCCCATGAATTTAATTTGGGTACGCAGACTGTTCGATTCATAATATTCAATGTCATATTGTCCAGTCCTTAATCCTAATTGAATTCTGTCGGTTACCTTTTGGTACATCTGTTATGGTAATTAACTCGACATGATGATTTAAGTATTTTTTGGTTTCTGTAAATCATCAGTATGTCGTGAACCAGAGTTTCGTTCCAGTAAACGCTCATCAGAAAGGTATATTCAAAAATTTTAGGGAGCTGGCGATCCTTATGAGACTAGCCTAATTACCAGTTGCCGCGGTTCGTAGCGTTACCATTAAATAGTTAGGGATGTATCTTACTTCGTATAAAATTAAAAAAGCTTATACAATAAATGATCAATTAGTAGTAACCAATGTTTTATTTATTCGTTAATGATAATCGAGTTCTGCGTTATAAATTTGATTATGTCTTCAACTTACGTTTACCAAAACTAAACTGACATTGTCATTAACACTACTTTTAGTTTGTTTCACGATCGGATGGTTAAATAATGTGGGCATCTAATTTGAAACCATTCTACATGATTTAATCTAGACTTCTGAAATCCGTATTAAGAAAAATTCAAGAGACATGGGTTACCGTTATATTTTCACATTAGCTTTTATACAGAACTTACGGTTTCTTATTACGTTATCTTTTCAATACTATGGTAACTTTACCACAATCAATAAAATTATTATGGAAAGTTGCGAATTCTCTAAAGAAAAATAATTTGTCTTTATTATGAGAGATTATCGAATCTCTGTCTACAATTTTGTAATCAGTACTTTCGTCTACATCAGTCACTCTTCAATGATGATGGTGTTAATCACATAATACCCAACGTCCACTGAATTAAACAACTTCCTCAACGGTGTAGAATGCTCATTCACAATGATTTCCGGATTTTCTGTGGCGTTTATACTAGAATAGCAATTTTTCACTGCTTACTCTCTCAATGTTTATCATGAAACATCTTCATCATTATACTATTTATTTTCTATGAAGATGTTTAACTGTCGTTTTTTCACATAAAAAATGTTTTTAAACAGTGAAATAGCTGATTCCATAGTTTGTGGAAAAGATGTAAAATTAGAACGCTTAATTGTAATTTCACAAGAGATAGCTGCTAGTACAACTCAATTGGTTTATGCTACTCGTGTAAAAACTACTTCACAATCTGAAATGTTCAATAAATTACAGTTAACTAGTAAAGAAATATGCAAGTGTACTGGAAATTTGATTGCATGTGTAAAAAAGGCAATTGAAGCAAAACATATAGAAGGTATGATTTTTTTAGTTTTTTTTTTACAAAATCTCACTTATGTAATATATAAGTTATGTAATATATAACATTTTCTGACAATTCTACCAAGAAAATTAGGTTAAATGAGGATACTACTGAAAACGGATACTAGAATTACATTAGGTGTTCAGATCATCAGTGATAGATGGTTTGATTTTCCAGTTTAAGAAAATCTAAGCTTCTGAATTAGTAATAAAATAAACAATAAATTATTTCAATAGTTGAGAGCATGAGTCTGTTGAAGCTAGACCACCATGTAAAACCTGGAAGCAAATAAATTATCTATAAAACTACAATCAGACAAATAAATTGAGAATTCTTAAAATATTTATTTATTTCATAGAACCTTAGCAATTGTAAATGAAACGTGATATTTTTTTGGTGAATCAAACTGTTTGATATAAATTCTTTTAGTTAATATATAGATTGACAGAATCTTTAATGATATTGACCGAATAAATATGTTTAAGATTATACGATCACAAATTTAAACCATCTGACAAGTTAATAAAATGCATTATGTAATGAATTTTCTATTTTGTTCGGGATTAAAATTGCTCAAAAGTACATACTGTCAACTTACAGAATGTAAAAATTGCATTTCTTTTTGATGACATTTTGAGGGATTGTATGAAAATAAGTTCACAAGCATCTTCCATTTGTGATTATCTCACATTAACGTTGGTGATTATACAACTTCTCCGGTTCTACTAGTCATGAATTCCTGCTATTCATAACGCTGAATACAAATAATAACGGTGCAACTTGGTAATCAGGTACCATTTCTAGTTCACGACTTTATTAAACAACTTTATGTCAGTTAGGATAGCCGGCTGATCTACATAGAACACATTGTAAAATCCCGAACTAAAATTTAAATGTCCTGTCCTTGAATCATTGAGTCACAAGCCTGTTGTCCCCTTGAATTAAATATTAGATGAGGTGAGAAAACAAAAGATTTTTCAAAGTTGTAGATACACATTTTTGTAAGATAGGATTTGTGAAAAATTTTAAATACACGCGATTCACAACTAAGTCATCCCAACCACTTAAAATACTGAACTGAGAAACCACCTTTTAGGCTGAATTCTTATCAGGGCAACAAATACTCAAGAGTCCCGAATATAAAATTTCCTATAGTTAGATATTTTAATGTACACATAGGGAATATTACTTTAGACGTTATTTTATATTTTCTATAATACTGAATACATTTAAAATAGTTTTCTTGATAAATTTAGATAAGACAATGAAAAGACAACGTTTATTAGAACTATGTTGTATATTACCACATATATTGTCTGTTGTCTGGTTTAATTAACGGTCCACAGTTCTAGCTTTTTAATAGTTCAACGAGACAGAAACAAGCAAACTGTTTAGGAATCTCTATCTACCATTGAAATGGTACTACAACGTGTATTAGTAGATTATCAGAATGATACGGATAACAGATAAGTAAGTGGGTTAATCTAGCGTTAATTTGTATTTTAGTCATTCATTATAGATCATCTGTGTATGTATTTAACTTATAAAAGCTTGGCACATTGTACCTGAAGAATTCTTCGATACTTATTCGATGTATTGATATCAGATAAGCGTAGGATTTCAGAAACGAGAAGTTAAATAAATTAATCATCTATGTAACCAGAAACTTGGGTTTCTTATTAATATTGACTCTCAATAAACGAATGAATAATTATTCTAGCCTTTAACCTATTGAAGAAAATTCTAATTACTGATGTAATTCATAAAAATTAATTTGTGATATGGTTTGAATAAATACTCAGTATCCTACCTGCTGTAGTGAACGTAGACTTAACAGGGGTGACAAATATATTGTGTAATTTAAGATTACAGAGTGCCTTCGTAAAATATGCAAGCTATACATGAAGTACATTATTTGCACATCTTGCTTTGGTTGTCCCTTACATGCTTCATGATTCTTTCAATTCTTTTGTTATTACAATTACTCTCCGTTAACATTCCTATTCTCTTCAATTCAATTTTCTCCATCTTTCGCTGGCAGGCATTCCATTAATGATTGATGTTACATACTACTTATATCTGTTAACATAGGTAGCATATACCATACTATTACTATAATTATAGCATATACTCTAAACCCATTTGTTTTCAGATTACTGATTGGAAATTGTTTTCATGTTAGATTCGACTTTTTCCTGAAATTTAAATAATCATTCTTTTGTTGATTCTATTACCATATTACTGCTCATACTGTTTATTTTTCTTTTAAAAATACTTTAGAACTTGATTTTAGTAGCCTTACACTAACTCAAGCAAAACGTATGGAAGTTGAATTACAAGTGAAAATTATTGAATTAGAAACATCGTTAACAAATGAACGACAACGTTTAGCTAAATTAAGAAGAGATAATTATCAGTTATCAGCTGAAGTAGAGGTAAATTATTGGTGTTTTGTATTGTTTTAATAACTATTCTCTATAAATATAGTTAGATTTAAAATGTATTTAAAAGTACAAATTAAGAGTATAATTTCAGAGTACTGAGTTGTAGTGAGAGAATAGTCACATCAGTTATTATTGTTTACTAATTAAATGTTTATTTCATCACAGAGCATCTATTTGAGTCATTCCAGATCAACTACAGTGAATCAAAAATTGATTCAAATAGTCATTTTACTTATGTTTATTTATGAAGAAAGTACAGTACAATCTAATCACATATTTATATTTTGCCTTATTGTCTTCTTTTGTATTACTGTCTGTCTGATATGATTTCTAGTACTATAAATATCTTACCAAGTAATCTTGTGATCAGATTATTCCCTATGTATTGGACTAATATGTATCACACCGTCACCTTAACTTTATTATTATTGGATTGTCTACAGAAAGAATAATTTTATCCAGTAGGTTTTCATGTACTTGAGATCATCTGAATTACCGATCAAATACTTTTAGACGTATTGGAATCTCAGCATTCCTAAACTTTATTTCGAAACTAACCAGTCATATGAAAAGAAATAGTCAAAAAAAGTAGATGTAAAGTCAAAATATGGTTTAGAACATCAGTGTTTTGTTTTTGTTTTTCAGTGATATTTATTATTTTGAAGCTATGCAAAGCATTTGAGTTTCATTTCTTTCCATCTATAAATGATAACATTTGTGATACCATCTTACAGTAAATGGGGTAGTATTTTTTTTAAAATGAAGTACTTATTAAATTAACACTGATAAGCTTTGTAACTGGTCCTTTTATTGTTGAATAATCTCTGAGATATCTTTTTCTTCAATATTCAAATGATAACAACCAATGTTAGGTAAGGCAAGTGATTTGGAAAAACTCAAACGTTGACAGGATTTAATTTGAAATAAAAACAGTTCGAATGGTATAGTAGATTTCTTCAGAAAAATTTCCGCTACTAATCTACTTTTCAATAATTTGCGTTTAATATGGCAAAAAGTTTGATTTCTTCACATTTCAATAATGCAATGAGAAGACTAAGGTTATCGGAATTATGTGTTTTATTTGTGTGATACATTTAAAACAATCTGATCACACCTATAATTGTTAAGACATATAAAACGTCAACTAGACAAATTACAAGGTGGGCGGAAACAAAGACAATGATAACGTGTACACAAGCAATGTGGAAACCACATTGGATAATAAATTAGTATTACCAAGGTATATTAAGAGTAAGAACAAATCGTTTTTGAACATACAAAGGGGGTTTCAGTTTTCGTATAGACAGGGCTTCAATAAACCTTAGTATACGCCCTTGAAAACTTTTGTACAAAACTACAAAGGCTGACTTGATATAAACCTTATGACCAGTCTCAATCAAATGTTCCGCAATGAAGGAAGATATTTTTCTATCCTATCATATTTGACCATTGGAATTAATCGGTTTTTTTGCAGTCATTTAGGTACGTGTTCAGCTCTTCCTTTCATGTAAGATAAATATGCGTTGGACTTGTTATGAGTGCTTATCACCTATAACTATAATGTCATACACGTACCGCTTATACAAATACATCTTTTGAATTGAGTCTTCAACTAGTGTTTCCACATATCCCATAAACACATCAGCCAACAATTGTCCTAAAGGACTACCCATAGTTATGCCATCAATCTGTCGAAAATGCTCACCCTCAAGTGGATTTCACATTGTCAGCAAATAATAATAATAAATCTTTAAGAGATTTTACAGAAAATGTCAATGGGAGGGTATTTAATAACATATAGTCATACAAAATACTAAGAGGTACATTTGTAAATAAAGCGTTTACATCAAAAGAGCACATTGCTTTAGTTTTTGTATTGATGTCCATTAAGTATTTAATTAATCCAAATAAGCCTTTCAAAGAATACTCAAAAAATTGGCTTCGGATAAGGTTTAATACTTTTGTCAACCATTTTGCAAGATTATATGTAGGTGACCGACACATTGATATAATTGGATGTTTGGGGGTATTGGGCGTGTGGATTTTTGGTAGTCCATATAGATTAGGATACACCTAACCCATAGGTTTTAACAAATTATATTTCTCTCTGCTAACTGCATTCATGTTAAGCACTTTTATTAGGTTCGAGTTGCCTTTCCTCTCTAATTTACGTAATCCACCAAAGTCAACATCAGTCATAAATTTGCTTTGATTACTGAGAATGAATTACATTTTATTTTTGTAATAGGACTTATTATAATGATACCTGACCCTTTATCAGGTTTTACCATAATAATATCAGCATTATATGTGTAGTCAGAATGTTCGAGGTGTACTGTGCAAATATATCGCATAATTCTGATAACCTTTGTCCTCTCATTGCATTATCGAAACTTATCGAAGGGAATAATTGTCTTATACTTCACATATATTAATTGCTTTATTTCCAAACAAAGTACAGAATTATATTTTGAAAACACATAATGTTAATTATTCAGTTGTGAAAGAGCGATAACTTTTTTTAAAAATGGTTCCGAAGGCTGTTATAAACTTTCAGTAATGAAATCACCAACCCTACATACATGAAAATAATTTGCTATACCGCAAAAATTAGAGATATACGGTTGATTTATTCGAAGATAGATGTTTTAACATTAGCTGGAAAATTAATGTCAGTGAAGCTCCGCAGAGAAGTGAATTTGACCTGTTTCCATCAGTAGGTGTAGAACCTAACTATATCGAATTATATCGTTCTGTGTAGCATGTAACACCTACCTCCTATAGGTACTTGTTGAAAATAAGTCAACTTTACTCTTTTACGCACATTCACTCAGGATGGTTATCCTATTAACATCAAGATGCTTATCAATTATTGTTAGGATTACTATTCCCTGACCTAGAAGGGATACACGTCATCACAGTTGGGGTATTATTACTTTATGTAAATACTTCACTTTGCTTTTGTTCTGCAAATTTACTTCACTGCACCTCCATTCTTTTAATTATCTTCATATTTTCTGTAACTGTTTTATTTCTCAATCCATCAATCTTCTTACGTGGTAGGATTTCTTGTTTGAAGTAATGACATGCATGAATGTGAATGACTAGCTTATTTTTTTTTGAAAATTTAATTGTTATTACGTACGAATTGGGGTAAATAAAAGTTTTTGCTCAATAACATCAAGTGAATTGCTTAGACTAGTAAATCTTTTTTAGTGTGATCACCTTGGTTATTACTTTTTTTGAAAAGAGATCCATCAATTTTCTTGCCAGAAAGTATGGGCGTTGTTTACATCACCATTATTCGTGATAATATGCTTATTTGATGTTTGTTAAAAGCATGATTTATTTGTTTGTTCATTTTGTACATGACAGTAATACAGGGTTATATTGGCTGTTTGCTAGTCTAATTAGTTGATGGACAATTTTTGTAACCCGAGGATTACTCAAAAAGATATTTTTACATTTGAAAACCAATACGTCATTTGTAAAGCAACTTGAAACTAGCATGACGTAATCGAATTCTCAAGATCTCTGTTGACGTATATTCCTAATCCTATCTGATATTAGGACCAGAATCTTTCAGGTTATGAAGGATTTCAGAAAGCATATCAGTTTCAACTCTTTTTCCAGAAATGTTATCCTTGTCGTAAAGTAATTTGTTTATGCAAACGTCTTGTCAATATATGCGTATGCACTAACCCATTTGTAAATAATTAGCAAATCTAGTTATAGAGTATATAAAATTTTTAATCATGTTTTTATTTTTATTTTATTCTGTCCAAATAAATTCTTTACATGGATACACATGTCTGCCACTACCAGTTGATCAATGAGAGATAATGAAAAACTCCCAATGAAAATTTAACAAATAAAGTAGTCTACAAATCTACCTTCCAAATTAAATGTAAATATATTTATTTCAACAGCTTATCTACCTACGTTATTATCATCAAAATTTGTTATCTTACTACTAATACCACTCCAGTAATCAGTTAATAATGCATACCTAAGTCTTTCATTATTCAAAATAACTCCCCCCATTATTGTGTGTATCAACGGCACAAGGAAGAGTGACATGAAATCGTATATTCAACTTTGTACTTGATTTTCATCATTTTGTTATTGTATGATCTCATATTGATTATATTTAGTGATATGACAGTTTTCTTTCTGCCTAGAGGATGGAAGAATGCTTTTTCTCTCGACTTCGTCCCGTTCTTTTTTCTCTTCCTTTCTTCTAGAAAAATAGAATAAATAAATGACTTGCCATACTTTTTTACTTGTCTATTCATATTTGTTGTGCTCTTATTCATCAAGCTTATTTGAAAATATCGATTTTTCACCCGTCGTAACACGTCTTGCGAAACTGCTGAACTTTCCCGGTTATTTTACAGCATGATAATATCTATTTGGATCGACAATATAGTATTGCGTGATTCCTTTCTGATTGAATGCTTATTATTACCATTATTATTATGCCAAACAATGATATAATTGCACTAAATTATTTTAACAGCGCACCTTATCTATACTTTCACTTATGGATATGGATAACTCGAAGATTGGGATTAGTAATTAAAGAATATATTTCCTATGTTTTGGATACTAATCTCTCTGTAGTTATATTTGGATAATGATTTTGAAACAAAGATGGATCTGGTGGTGTATTTTATAGCTCATCGGTAAATGGCGTTAAACTAGTACAATGGAGACAAAAATGTTTACGATGGATTCCATTTGTGTCAGCTAGATTTTGTAGTTTAGTTTTGAAGTGCTAACTCTATAACTTACAGGTTTCTAATATCAACTGTGTATTCCCCGATGGTTTTTAACAAGTGTAATTATCAACCTTACCAAACAATTAGACAAGCAGTGCTAGTTTTTTTAACAAATAGTACGACTTTCTCCTGACATCACTCTTCACTTTATCTCCCCTTTGGAAAATGGCTTTATATTTTGCCCGATGAAAGAGCATGTCTTTCTAACATGAAATGAGGTTGGGTTCTGCTAAACTAGAACCAAAGCTATTAAATCTGAACATCGTCTAGACATCAATTAATGACTTTGATCCTCCATTTACTGAAAGCGATGACAAACTCGTGAAGGGTTCGTTTTATTTTACTAATTAGCGAACTATCACCGTATATCATTTAAAATTGTTCGTTCAAACTATTACCAGTCAGTAACTTAAAACTGTTCAGTCTCGACAAAACTAATTATAACAATCTACCATGGGAAATGAATCTCTTGTGTAAAAGAATATGGATTTCTGGAACAATGACCCAGCAAAATGTCGATCTATAGAGGATAGTGTAACCATTTCATCACAACTTGAGTTTATCATTTGAATAAAAACAGTACTGGTCTGATGAATTCATTAGGAACTAAGTGTGGATGAACCGGTATTGAGAATTGTACAGCTTTGATATTTTTTGAGATACAACAAATATGATTGGTTCTAAAAACAACGTTCTTTACTATCAAAAGTGAATGCCACATTTCCACTACTTTAAATTCAACAAAATCTAATTATTCATGAATATCACATTGTTCGGAAACCAAACTTAATCATTTTCAGTAACTAGTATTGTACAAAATACCAAATACGTAGGAGGCAGCACCAGCTTAAGTACACTCTCACTGAACAGCAGTTACGGATTATTATTACAAGGTATTTTAAGATCTCAGTAAGGGATCTGTTAAAAACGACCAATTCAATGAGTCGTAGCATCAGTCCTTGTGAAAGCTAGACAGGGTAAGTAAACAGTTATGCTTGCAGGATACAGCAATATTTTACCAACATACGACAGTAAATACTAGGAAGTATGTGCTTTACGCGCATTTATCAGTGGTCAAAATAGACTTAGTTAGTTAGGGGTCAAACGAAAAGGTCCATTTTTTAAAATTTACATAAATCTAGTCTGACAGTAAAAGCTGACGGCAAGGACACCATCTTAACCTTTATTTCCTGTGACTCCGGTTTCAGCCTAACAAACTATCAAAACCAGCAACAATAAGATGAATACAAAAATGACTACCATCTCTGCCAGAATATTAGTTTTTTATGCACCTTACCTTGCACTTTGGACATTCAGATGTCGTTCAAAATATGTTTTTAGTGGCCCGTGGACCTGACTCCAATTAGATCGTACGAATGTTTGTTATTACCTAACCTCGTATACAATTATCGACTTAAATCACGTTAGTCAACAACGGAATTTAGATAAGTCAATTAACGAGAATGGCCTTTGAATACATATATTTTGTATGTAAAGTGAATGTAATAGAACAAAGCAAAATGACGCGCAGGAGAGATGGCTGGTTAGCCAACTCATTTTTAGCCAGGCGTTACTTAATATTTATAGGCAGACAAAATAAACTACAGACATGGGATATGAAGTGTACACACATATACGCTCATATAAAAACAGTCAAGACTGATAATCGAATAATTAACAAGGTCAAAATATGACTCAAATAGAATGAACATATTGGGCTGTCCGAAAGTTAGAATAAAGTATATGGGCTTAGCATAATAACTGACACTACATGTTCATGTCAGTCAGCTGAATACTATGCTAATCTAATATTAATATAATCTAATTTGAGGAATCTTTAATAACTTGAAAAAATAGTGATATGATTATTTGTAGACTGCAGAAGCAACTGGTTTTACTTGCCCCGTATAACCTTAACATGGACTGGTATTGTTCGATATGTGGTAAGACTGTAAGTTTGTTATACACCGACCATAAATCCATCACTGATCTAAAAACTACGTCAAAATACACCGAATTAGATGGGATTTGCATATCTGGCCAATAAGCACATTTGAAAATATTGAACTAGACAGTTGTTATAGGCTTTTCGACAACTAAATGCATGCATACAATTTGTGATGTGAACTACATTAGCCAAATTCATAATAAATTACTGAGTTGCATACTGTTACCCGACTCACAGTTATTTGTAACTGTAATAGACAACAAATAAAAAAACCGGGTTACTATGGGTTTTCTTCAACTTCGTGATACCTATCGGTTGATCCCAGTGAAAAACGAGGAAAACACCCATCATAAACAATTCCACAAGGCTTACATACAGATGCTTATAGACAACATTTACGACAACTGTAAGTTATCAAGCTCAAACTTCCTTTCATTCAAACTATGCAAAAAGCACGATGTCACTGAGACAGTTATATATTTATTTGAGCACATTTATATAAAAGGTCGCCAAATACATATGCGCCACTTGATTTGTGTGTGGGCTGTGATAATGCTCAGGTGCCCAGACCGTAGTAGGTGGTTTCCTTAGGGGGGCCACACCCAGAGCATTCGACCTAAAGGTCTGATCCACAAGGCAGTGGAGCACTTAGGAGATGCAGTCCCGTGGTAGCCGGTGACCACTAATCAATTCATACGCCATTTACTCCCTCGGGATTGTGGAGCCCATGTGCACTATTGGTTTGGAATCAGGGTTTTCCGACTCCCCAAGGTGGATCCCTCATATCCACAGACCCGGTTAAAGCGCCGGACATTCGCTTTTCGTCCTCTCAATTTCGTAAACAACACCACCGCCGCGAGAAGACAGTGAGTAGGACTTCCCTAGCAGTGGCTGTGTACGCGTGACCATGCGAGAGCATTTCGAGAGGGAGAGCTGACTCCCCTCAACCTCAACTGTACAAGTAAATTTGGGGGCCACTAAGATAGTGTACCCGTTAATCGTCAGAAGCAAAAATTCCAAAGGAAGCCCACCTGACCCACAGCAACGAAAACTATGATAATTTCCCCTACTGTTTAGCCTGTTAATACCGACTTATTTGTTAATAACCTGTTTTTTTTTATAATACACAGTTTACATATTATTCGGGATCAGAATATATTGTCATATTTTTGCATTTCACCTGAGTATTTAAAGGACAAAGTGAACGATCCTCAAGTGGATCGTATGCGATTCGAACATCCTCAACTCGGAGAGGCCAGGTTTCACAAGCATTGAGCAAAACTGCTCTCACCGACGCGTTGTAGATCCGACCAGAATGAAACCCAGCCTGCTCCTCGCGAGTCAATCTTTCTCGGGTTTTGAACAACCTACTAAGTATGACGGAAGCCAATAGCTTGGACGTAATCGGAAGTAGACTTATCGCCCGATAGTTGTTACAGAAACCACGTGAACCCATTTTAAAGATAGGGACAACAATAGAGGGAGGGAGAGCCCACCCCACTCTCGGCCATACCAGGGCATTTGGGGGTCCTTGTATGGTGCATTTACTGTCGCACCTGTTATGTCAAAGCTAATATTTTAATAAACTGTTGATACAAATCGCCTTAATGATATCGAACAACGAACACCCCACTAGGCATAACAAGTGGGTTGGAGTAACAACTAACCTCAGAAACCAAGCAAAATAATAAATACTAACTTAAGAAGTTGGAGACAGTGAGGGGGATTCCTCTAGGGAACACGCTTTCGTAAATAGAAATGGAAATAGGCTTTAATGGTTCAAACAGTAGTCACGTTCGTTTGAGGAAAAAAACATTCGGCACCCAAAAAATGACTATTAAAAAATATGAAACATTGTTGCGAACGACTGTAGTAATAAAAAGTCAGTCAATAATCACATTTCCATGATGACAGAGAACGACACACACTTAACAATAAAATATTGACTAGTAATATGTACTGTAGCATATCCAATTTAATTTAATTTGGCTTTAAATACACAGGGAGGTATCTTAACCTCAGTGAAAGGGTAACAAATTGACATAATTTGCAACTACAGTTCACCAACAAAGTCAAGAAAATACTTTGCGTATTTTTTCATCATAAACAATATGTACAATGTATAAAAGAGCGGTTTAATCCTTCCGATCTCTTTTACGATGAGTAGTGTCACGATTACTGATATCTGTTCCTGAGGTACCTTCACCTGGGCGTTTTTCGGCCTTTTTGACTTTGGATAAGAATTTACTAAGATTGAAGGGATCTTCCTCGTCTCGCTCAAATTGAACTGGACCATCCAAACGACGTGAATGATCGGTTCCAGAAAATTCACGATCAGGAACAAAGCGTTTAGTCTTCTTAAGTGCATCAAGGTCTGTCCCATATGCATCAGTATCCTTTTGGCGTGGGCGGTATATATGGGTTACTAATTCAGAATCACCTCTCCATGGCTTATCATAAATGTTGTACAAATCATCCGCACCTAAAAAGAAGTAGACAGTTGATATGATTACTTACCTCCTTCAAAACCCGAGTCTAAACCTTTAGATTGATTGAAAAGTCTTTGATCGAATAAGCTCTCGCTTGTTGAGTTAAATCGTGGATTCGGAAGTCCAAGTGCAATTTGTTCGCTGATGTCTCGCTCTTTGTCCTTTTCAATCTTAGCCTTGGCTTCATTGTTAGAACGAGCTAAATTTCTTTCTCTAGCACGGTCTCGTGCACGATCACGCCTTAATTCTTCTCGGTCAAGTAGTCCCGGATCATTGTCTCCACCTTCAATTGCGCCAGGACGACGAAGACCCGCTCGAGATTCGCGAGCCTGCTGAGCGATTCTTTGAAGTTGCTCCTCTTTTCGTTCCTTTTCTTTCTGAGCAACTTTTCTTTCAATTTGCGCTCTCATTTCTACAGCCTCACGAGCCTTTCTGTCGGCCGTATAAAGTGCTTCTGCTAGTTTTGCAAAGTTCTCATTAATATGAACAGTTTGAAGACCACGGCCATCTGCAGCAACCCGTTTGTCTAGCGGAATGGTATATCCCCTGGGATTCTTCCAATTTGAAATACACGGGGGGATTTTCCAGTCTTGTTGTTCTTTTACTGTAACTTTCCGTGCCGGAGAATGCATCAGAGGTGGTGGGGGAGAAGGGGGCCCGCGAGGGATCTTTTGGTTAATTCTGAAAAAACAAAACCTTGAATCAGCGGAACTTACTTAAACTTAGGAGGTTCCATAGGATCTTTCTGCATTTCCACCATTCTGACGAGGCGTTGTTTAGCTCCACTATTGAAGGCAGCACCTTGTTGTGATGGTGTATAACGTATATATTCAGCAGGATTTGTTTTTTCAGCTCGGCGTACAGGTGCCGCGGCAGCAACCTTCATTTCCACTAATGATTCTAGAGCTCTACGTGTTTTTTCCGTTGTCTAACAAAATCAACAAAAATAGAAAACCTACCTCTTCGATAGTCTCTTGACTTGGTTTGTCGAATTCTGGGTCGTCATCATCAATCGGTTTAGGTAGTAAGTCTGAAAACTTCGAATAGATGATCCTGTCTTTGCTGTGTCCTTGACGAACAAGTTCATCATATCTGATTCTTCCATCTTTATCAGTCTTGATAACCAAGGCATTCGATACACTTTTCTCCTGCCCCATCCCAAGAGGATATTGAGGGACATGTATTTCTGGGAACGCCCCTCCATCTAAAAAATCCTCCTGATTGCGTGGTACCCAGTTTTTTCGATGTCCGTACGGTGGGATGGTTGATTTTGCAACGAGGACTCTTGAACCCACGTTCAAGTTTAAAGCAGTTCCATAGTCATCTGAACCCTTTTGAATTGGAGCTGGGAGTTGTCTAAAAACACATTGAATGAAGTTCCGAAAACATGATTATCCTACGGTTAAGCTTTTCCAACCCCTTAGCAAACATATTAGTTTACGCGAACATTTTCTTGGAAGTATTCATGTACTTACAAACTACCTGGCATTAATGACTGAATCCGTAAGATTTATTAGCGAAACTTTTAAACATAACGGACACAATATGGTTGTAATGCGAGCACCATTGGGTAGTTATTTACTTGTTGGTGAGTGTAAAAGCACTGTGCAACTATTAATATCAAGCAATTCATACTTACAGATATAAAATCTCATTGCATACACTGAAATTACACAAAATTTCCGTTCTATATGGTTAGGGATATTCTTTGGAGAAACAATATATCTAACCCTGTAGGCTTAGCAGTCGAACAGCTCATCCGTGATATTTAAACTATAACAAGATAAAAATCCACAAAAAAACATGTTATTGATGGCAACGTACACAAGTACTTGCTTTGTTAAAGTCGATTTTGGAACTGTCCGAAGAAATATTTCTGCAGCTGGAGTGGTCCAGTAAATGTTAATTATAAAGACATTTGAAATATTACGCCAATATGGGCCGTGACTGCAACGTCAAGAACGTTGATATTTTGACGGGCGAAAAAGCTGACCAATAGTTATCTACACTAACTGCAAACAACCTACTTCGTAATTTATGACGTAAATCACTGGAAGTTAAGCCACAACAACTAGGATTCGAACGAAACAAAAATGCAACCACTACGAGTATATATTAGCGTTATTTTACTTCCAGAACTATAAAGGTCTCGGCCTCTCACAGGCTTTTGACTTACTAATTAGACAACCCATTTTATGTATGCCTTTTTAGTTGGATAGGTAGACCAAGGCCTTCGCTGACTTAAAACCTTCGACGTAACGAAGGTAGGAAGGCACCTGAGCAAACTTAGGTTATCAATATAAGACGGAATAATCGTGACTAAAGAAGAAATTCGAAACGACTGGAATTTTATGGCACTATACAAGTACGTACTTGCATGGTTCGAACTGCTTTTTGTGAATAAGATCAGAGAATGCGGTTCTAGGAGAAACTACAGGTCTGAACATCTCATGACATGAAACATATTAACGAAATAATCTGACAAGCAAATTTCTGGGATACTACGTCGAGAAAACCCGAACCTCGTGAAATAAACACTTTATGCGTCAGTCTGGAGTAACAGTCAGGCACTTATACTTCCTCGAAGAGGTTTCAGTTGTGTGGAACGGTAATAATTTACCGAAATCTGGACCTACCCAAGCAACGACATTATAATCAAACAAGGCGGTGACTGAGTGTCAACGAGACTTAACAAAAAATTTTTCATCCAATTTTCATAAGTAAGGTAATAGACACTTTTGTTTGTTTTGGTTCTTGTAAATGACAGTACAAAATGGTATGACAGTTTCTGAGAACTGTAGGTTTATTTATCTCACTAGTGTGTATTTTTTAAATGCTCTCAAATGGTTCAAATTATCCAAATGGTTCTGGATGGAATTGAAGAAGCTTTCGCTTAACAGCCTTCCGTATCTAGTAGCAGTGGATCACCGATACTTCTATGCAGGAACCTAGGTATATTACCGATAAAAGAGGAAAAAGAAAAAAGTTAGTAAGATACTGTCTGTAGTCTTTAAGAATATGTCAAGTTTTCTCTTTATAAGACTCCTGAGAAGTCACTTGTACTAGCTCAGTCGGCAGCGAATTCCAGTATTTGACTACTCTTAAGGAGTAAAAGTTGTGTTTACATTCCGTTCTGCTGAGTTGTGTCTCCAGTTTCTGGATTTTATCTCTAAGGTTTGTGTTCGAACTAAGCTTAAGTTGGTGTTTAGTGGAATGTCCAGAAGTGTTAAGGATGCTGTAATCAATTAGGTCAGCTGTAAGACACTTATACGCTGGTGAGTAAAGATTCAGTGATCGAAGTCACTTTTCAAAAGACTTGAATTTGAGTCCCGAAACTCATTTCGTGACTCACCGTTGGATATGCTCTTAAGTGTCATTATCCTTTTGGAGTGAGGGAGGAAATGCTATGTCTCCGTACTGTAAATGGGAAGGAATGAAACTGTTGAAGACTATGTGGAAAGTTCTTGTGTCGAACTGGTCGAAAATGCGCTTCAACGTTTCCAGTATAGAGTTTGCTCGAAAGGCATTTTCGTCGCAGTTAGCGTAAGACTTCAGACAACAGAATTCCAACACTCCTAGATTTTTTTAACTTGGGCTGCTTCTGGAGGGGAGTCGCACAAGTTGTAACTGTGGTCTACATGTCTAAATGTCTACACTTTGTTAACGACAAGCCCGTTATCATATGCCCAACCTTGAAATCCAGTTGGATCCTCCTGAAGTGCTAGTTTATCCTCTTGGTTGCATACTTTCCTCCAGAGTTTCATATCATTGGCGAAAAGCGGTAAATCTAACAATACCTGATGTGGAAGGTCGTTTGTCTAAGTCAAGAAAAGAAGAGGATCTAGTACTGAACTCTGAGGGAACCCATCAGGACATTCCATAGCCTCAGAGAAATAGAAGTTAACCCTGACCTAAAAATCCCGATTTTTAGATATGAAAATAATCGGTCGATGAAAAGTGGTTTGATACCTAATCATTTGAGCTTATTGATTAGACATACGTGGTATGTAACGTTAACCTTACTCTTGAGTTCAAGGATGATTGTTCATATATCTGTAACAGCTTAGGTTGGTTGGTTAAGAGTTGACCCCAAACAACCAAGCATATGCCAAAACAGTACTGTTCAAGTATTCATTCACTTCCTTGTTTTATATAAGCGTTATATTCCCTATTATCTTATATTGAATGTTGAGAGCCTTTGTTTGTCTGAACAGGTAATCCCACGCTCCACTGTTACCGCGCTGAGATCGAAATAAAGACCTATTCACTACTTCTCTGGTTTCTTCTATCAATAGCACGAGGGTTACTTTAAGGCACGAAATTGGTGAGCCCTTTTTGAACACAAATTTAACCTCATTTCTGTTATTAACATTTTTTTTATTTAATCGTAAAAGTAGACCTGATTATCCGTAAACTAATTTGAGTGTATAACTAGTTTATTCCGTATTATCTTAAGTTATTCGTGTTATAGTAACCACTTTTTGTGCTAACTTTATTGTTATATTTGTCACATACCTCATGTCAGACTCAATAGAAACCCATAATCTGGAGGATTTGTCACCAGTGGAGATAGACACTGTTATGACTACGAAATCCCGACTTCCAGAATTTGATCGTAGTGATCCTGAGTTGTGGTTTGCTCAACTAGAGCATTATTTCACGAGACACAATATCAAATCTGAAGGGATTCGCTATAGAGACTTGTGTTCTATCCTTCCTCCTTCAGTCGCCAAAGAAGTCCGTGACTTGATTTTGAGTCCACCATCACCACAACCATACACCATATTAAGACGAGAGATAATGAACCGTTTATCATTATCAGATAGTCAAAGAATCCAAAGACTTTTTCAAGGTGAAACACTAGGTGATCGGTCGCCGTCACAGTTTTTACGTCACCTCCAAGTCTTAGTGGGTGATAACACAGTGGGTGAAGCAGTCCTAAAACAAGGATGGATACAAGCTCTCCCATGCTACGTCCAACACTGTTTGGATGCACAGGATCCTGAAACCTCATTATCTCATTTAGCGCGTATAGCCGACAGAATAATGGAAAGAGGTCCTCCAACTGGATCAGGCATAATAAATCACACACAAAAAGTAGAATCAGCAAAAGACCCCGTAATAGAAGGACTCATTGCGAGTGTTAAGAGTCTCACTGAGGCTGTCACCAGAATGCAAATGGGTCATAGAAACTGGAGCAGGTCACCACAACGACCACGATCCAAGTCACAAAACAGGTCACAAATGTCCAGACAATCTGGGCAGTTTTGTTGGTACCACTGGAAGTTTGGTGTCAACTCAACCAAGTGCTTGCAACCATGCGCCTGGCCTAAGCATAATTCTAAGACAGCGGGAAACGAGTAATCCCTCCCCAAGTCGCGACGACTGAGGAGGGGCGCCTAAACAGTCGCTTGTTTTATGTTGGAGACAGAAACTCTGGCTTGAATTTCTTGGTGGATACTGGTGCTGCTCTTTGCATCATCCCTCAAAATAAAACTGAGATTAGTCGAGAAACATCATCAATTACACTTCAAGCTGCAAATAAAACTAAAATCGCGACATTTGGGCAGAAAACTTTAACCCTAGATTTGGGGTTCAGGAGGCAATTCCCTTGGGTTTTCACGGTAGCCGACTTAGATCTGGCAATACTGGGGATGGACTTTCTAGAGAGATACGAATTTCTAGTTGACACCAAGAAACGGCGATTAACACTAAAAGAAACTTCGTATTACACAAAAGGCGAAGAAAGTCACATCAGCTCTCTTAACTTGATTCAAACTCCCACAGTAACAACAGCGAAATTCCAAGATATACTCGCGGAATTTCCAAACTTAACTAAACCAAACCCACAGCCTTCTAAAGACAAACTAAAAGTGAGTCACACTATCAAAACCGAAGGTGCACCGGTGTTTGCAAAATCCAGGAGACTAGCACCAGATAAGCTCAAAATCGCTAGGGCCGAGTTTGATTATATGCTACAATTGGGTATTATCCGTCCCTCTGATAGTCAATGGGCATCCCCTTTGCATATGGTCCCAAAGAAGAATGAAGGTGACTGGCGACCGTGCGGGGATTACAGAGCCCTAAACCGTCAAACCGTACCTGATAGGTACCCAATACCTCATATTCAAGATTTCACCAACGGTTTACAGGGTATGAAAATATTCACTAAAATTGATTTAGTCAGGGCATATCACAATATCCCAGTGGCTGATGAAGATATTCCCAAGACAGCTATTACTACACCCTTTGGCTTATTCGAGTTTGTACGCATGCCATTCGGCCTGAGAAATGCGGCACAGACATTTCAAAGATTCATAGATAACCTACTTCGAGATATGCCATTTGCGCAGGGGTATATAGACGACTTGTTAATTGCCAGCCCCGATTTGCAATCACACGAACAGCATGTACAAGCAGTGTTGAAAAGACTGGATGAACATGGAATAAACATACATCAAAGTAAGTGTGTTTTCGGTGTTCAAACTTTAGAATTTCTCGGTCACACAATAAGCCCAGAAGGGATTAAACCTATCAAAAAAGAAGTGGATACCATCAAACAATACCCCGTACCTAGTTCTCTAACACAACTGAGAAGTTTTCTAGGCCTAATTAACTTTTATCGCAGATTCATACCAGGTTGTGCACAATTAATGCAACCTTTGACAGATTTACTTAAAGGAAAACCAAAAGAATTCAAACTGTCTTCTGACGCCATCGAAGCTATTAAACAGCTTAAAGATAAACTGGCTCAAGCAACTACGTTGATATATCCGAATTCTCTTTCCCCACTTGCTTTGATGGTGGATGCTTCAGATAAAGCAGTAGGCGGTACCCTTAACCAACTGGTTAAAAACGCCTGGAAACCAATTGCTTTCTTCTCGAAAAGACTCGCTCCAGCCGAAACAAGGTATTCTACCTTCGGGCGAGAACTTCTTGCAATCTACCTAACCATTAAACACTTCCGACACATGTTAGAAGGTAGGGAATTTATAGTCTTTACGGATCACAAGCCACTAACGAATGCACTAAAAGCGAGAGCTGATAAATACTCACCTCGAGAAGTCCGACACCTTGACTATATATCACAGTTCACAAGCGATATCCGACATGTCAAAGGTCAGGACAATCAGGCGGCAGATGCTTTATCTAGGCTAGAAATGAACGTGCTACAACAGTCCACAGTAAACTTCGAGACGTTGAGAAACGAACAAGAGCAGGATCTAGAATTACAAAACCTGCTTAAAACAAACAATTCAAGTCTTAATTTAAAACAGTTCCCATCACCTGTCGATGGTATTCTAATCTACTGTGACACGACCAAGGCAATTCCGCGACCTTTCGTTCCCAAAAGTATGCGAAAGTTGATATATAATAACTTTCATTCTTTGTCTCATCCTGGCGCAAAAGCTTCAACTAAACTAATCAATGCCAGATATATATGGCCGAATTTACAGAAGGATGTACACAAATGGGTTAGAGTGTTCAGCATGTCAACAATCAAAGATTAATCGTCACACAAATTCACCCATAGGTGTTTTCTCGCAACCAGATGCACGTTTTGCCCATGTGCATATCGACTTGGTAGGTCCTTTACCATGTTCAAACGGTTTTAATTATCTTTTTACATGCATAGATCGATTTACCAGA